TCATATGATAATAAAATTTATTTTAATTAAAAAAGAAAAATCATTTTGGTAGCATACTTTGTATTAATCTTAAAATTATACATAACGTTTATAAGAAAAAAATAATTTTGTAATAGTATACTTTATACATAACATATATTGGAAAATTAAACCTAATTATTCTAAATATTTATAAACCCCGGCCTACTACTCACTAAAAACATATTTAAAAAGTTGATTATTGAATACTAATTATCCTAAAGTAAAATGAACTCAACTTAATTGTCATATTATGTCGATTAATGTATGTCAACAATTTTAAGACAAATGTATATGAGTTCCTATATGGGTACTAATCTACGTTTAATTTTTAATTTTCTTATATATATAAAATTTTATAGCTTGTAATTTTCTATTATTATATTTATTTATTTATACAATTCAATTTAATAACATTTACGTATTTAGTATTGGTATAAACTAATTAAAATTCAAGTTATTTGTTTACAAATAATTTTTTTTTGGATAAATTACTGTTGAATTAAACCATTATTTATTATTTATTTGCTGTAAAATTTAATTATGACCGTGCATGGTACGGGACTTAACCTAGTTTACTACTACGTGTCATTGAGAATTCATAAGGCCGTAGTGTTATGTCTTTAATGGATGATTTTGCTACTATGAATAATCATAGAATACGATTTAACTAATTTTTTTGTAACACTGAAATATTAATACATTTTAATTTTTATATATTTCCATCATTATATTGTCTAACAAGTCCGGCCCCCAGAACTGAAAAATCCTGGCTTCGCCCCTGTATATATCAATTCACATACATACATGTACGTGTTAAATATGTATAATTCAATTTTTACGTGGTTACACGTAATTTGTAAATTTTTAAATTTTCACGTAATTTGTTAATACATAAAAAATGTTTATAACCAGTATACAAACCCTTTGCATCTCATTTTCAAGTTTATTATGATGTTTAAAGCAAGCAGTCCTAGATTATAAAGTATAAATATAATTTTGTTTGTATATGGTATGAAGGTTTCTTTTGCAAATTATTTGTCTCTGCTAAAGGCATTTGATTATGTCGCTAATAGTCTGGTGAGAAAAATGATGCCACATAATGAGACAGTCATACTTGAATATGACAATCGACGAGATGCATGGAAAGATGAGAGAGATGAGCAGCGGCATTATTGGATGAGCAGAAAAAAAGACAAAGATGAGAGAAATGAACAAATGAAAGCACGAAAACACAAAAAAAAACAATTGGATCATTGAAGGCAAAATCTAATTATGGATCGTTGACTAAAAATACTCCCAAACGATTTCTTTTCAAAAATAAACTTTAAAACTAATTATTATTATTTTCAAATTGTAATAATATTATTATTATTTCGTTTTTGCTTTGCATTTATTTTTTATGGAAAATAAGTGTAGCAGTAACACTCTCAGAGTTCAATAGTTAGATTTTAAAAGTTAAAAAGGTTACTCTCATTATTTTAAAAAGACTCGAATTTTGGGGGTGTTACAGATTTCTACTTCATCATTATACTTAATAATTATTTTGATAAGTAACTAATACGTATGAACTTATTATCTATTCATATTTCAGAGTATTATTAATATATGATATTCTTCTTGATACTTTACTAAGTAGCTATAGTTGTGTTATAAACGACTATTTAAGAAATCGAGAGATAGTTTTTTTTTTTGGAAAAATTGCCGGGAATAATCCCACTTTTGGGTCGTCCACTAAAAATAATCCCACTTTTGGATTATTTTTAAATAATCCCACCTTTATACCTCATCTGCTCCCAGTAGTTCCAACCGGTCAACTAACTTACTATACCAAGTTACCTTACACTTGTAAGTTTGTGATTGGTAAAAAAAAAATATTTTTTTTTTAAAAAAAGTTTTAATTTATTTTAAGAAAAAAAAAAGTTAGCTGAATAATTGAGCAAACCACCCATTAGCCCCAGCCACCCTCCCCTGCAGCCTGTTCCCACCGGCCTTGCTGCCGGTATCCCCTGCCCCATAGCGCCGACCACCAGATCAACTCCCCCATCAGCGCCGACGCCCTCCCTCCCCCTCTCCTGAACCACCAACCTCCCTTCCACCGTCACGAAAGCCCTATTAAAACCAACCATCCCCGCCCAACCCTCGAAAACCCATTCTCCGCCTCGATATCGACTCCCCTCCCCTTTTCCCGTTCCGATTTTGGCTGCTCTCCCCTTCCCCCGTCCTGATTCTGTCATCTCTCTCATTTCCCCAGATCGAGTTTGGCCTCCCACATATTTCCTCGGCGCGATTTTGTCCTCTGTCACTCTCCCTTACCTCTCGATTTTGGCTACACAGACCACCCACAACTTAACGACGGCTTCGATCTGCTGGTTTCACAACTCCGTCGATCAACTGTGGCTGGCTGGAGCTGCATTCCTGGTTGCTCCGACTATATTGGGGTGGCCTGGGTCTGGCTGTTTTTTTTTTAAAAAAAAAATTGATTTTTTTTTTAATTTAAAATTTTAGACAAAATTGTACGGTGACACGTGTACTTTAATCCAAAAAAATAAAAACTCAATTTAGCAGGTAACCGGTCACTTGGGACTGTTAAGAGCAAATAGGGGATAAAAGGTGGGATTATTTAAAAATAATCCAAAGGTAGGATTATTTGTAGCGGACAACCTAAAGGTGAAATTATTGCCGATAATTTTTTCCTTTTTTTTGCTTCCAACATTATGAGCTAAATAATGATCAATTAGATATATGACTTTGGATATTTTGAGATTATATGCTAAATAAATATTATTTACTTATTAATCATTTTGCAAAGAAAAAAGTTAATTGTGCCAAAAAATTATGACAAGCGAATCAATGTGGAGTTTAAAGGTGTCAATTTTGAGTGTTTGAGTCGGGTTCGGTGAGGTCGAGTCTGGTCTAATTTTAAACCAGAGTCCTCCTAAATTAATGCGTACATGAGAGTCGAAATCTAAATCGAATATTATTTGGGTTGATTTCGAATCGAGTTGGTCGAGTTAAGTTTTACTCCGTAACACCTTAGTGGAACTAACAAATTTCATTTACTAGCTTATCTTATATTTGTAGTATTATATATTAAATAAGAAAAATTTATGCCAAAATTTATAACAAGTGGATCAATGAGAGCTAACAAGTGTCATTTTATGACTCGCTTATATCCGTAATATGTTTTGTAAAACACACAGTCTTATATGTGGCTGGCCACACCGTGTGGCAGGGGTTATTTCGTGAGTGTAATAAGGGTTACTTGGTCATTGTTAAAGGGGTTACTTTGTCAGTGCTATAGGGTTACTCGGTTAGTGATAAAAGGGTTACTCAGTTAGTATTACAGGGGTTACTTGATCAGTTTTATATGAGTTACTTTGTTCTTTTATAAATGGACACACGGTGTTGCTGGCCACACACAAGACGGACTGATTATTACTTTTTCTTAAAAAAAAAAAAAAACTGTGTAACTTCTTATAAAAAAATTAAGGGCCTGATCACTTCAGCTTAATTTTAGTTCAGCTCTAATCAATTCAGTTCAATTCAGCTCCTAATTTCCTTCTCTCATAAAATATTCAGTTCAGTTCAACTCCAATCAGTTCAGTTTAGTTTTTTTTTTTTTTTTTTTTTTTTTTTTGACAGCAGCAGAAAAGGGAATTAATCCCTAGAGATATTGAGAATTACAGAAATGAAAATAAGGCAGTAAAGTATTAATTTTCTCTTTTATCATTCTATCCCCTTTGAGGCTGGTGTGATTATCCTGCATCCATGCTATGCTGCTTTTTTCAGTTCAGTTTAGTTTAGTTAAGCTCAATTCATTAAATGTGAATAGGTCCTAAGTAAAAAAAATATAAGGAGTATTTAAACTAGCAAAAAAGTATGCCAAATATTTATACTTGATAACTATTAAATATTCCATATAGTTCTTTATCAAAAATTATTCCATACAGTTCTATAATTAATAATTAAATAATATCTAATGTAATCTGCTATATGAAGATTATTCTCATTTTTATAATCATTGAATTTCATCATATTTTAATTTTATATAATTAATATATATACGTATATGCTATTATTTTTTTATTCATTCATATTTATAAGAATACAGGTCATAAAAAAATACATTACCAACATTATTGATTAGCTAATGATGAATTATGTCTTTCGTTCATATAAATCTTACAAGTAATAAATATCTTTTATTTTATTCAAATGTTATTTTACAATATTGATCTACATCTATATATTTGTGTTGTATATTCAGTCAGTTGGTTGTTGTACGACTATTATGTAAAAAATTTTGGCACAATGCTTAGGAAAATATATACATGTAGGTAAGATATAAGGTTCTTATTGTGTCAACAAAGATTAAGTGATTGTGACGGGTAAAATAGATATTAGGTTGTACAACTACCAAGGTCTATTTTGTTCACCTTATTTTCACTTATTCCAGGTGTAATAAGTTCAGTTAAGTTCAGATAAATTCAGTTTAATTTAGTTTTAATAAGTTCTAATAAAGGTTACCCAAGTACAAATTACAACTAAAATAAGTTTTAGTAAGATGTTAAGGTCTAATAATTGAGTTCAAATAAGTGAAAATTAGGTGAAGAACACACCCTAAATCGGTTAATATGACAAGAAGATTTTTAGTTTTAATTCCCACTACAGGAGATAGAAAATAACTTTTCTTGAATAGAACATAATAATTTATTCGCTTTTTTTTTTGACAAGTTATTCGTTTTTTAATTAATTAAATAAAAATATAAAAAATAAAAAAAGAAGTAAAATATAAGAAATACAAATGACAAAGTATTATTCATATCACATTCCTTAATTTTTGTATTAGCCATTATTGTCAATGAATACTTAAATAATTAATTTGTTTATGTAAATAAGTCCAATATTACCAATTCATATATTATTTATCAATATCGATCTATACATATATATTCGGGGTGATAGCAATAACTACACAAATTACTCTTTTTTTTTCGCACAACAGCTCTCACACTTAAGAGTTAAGAGAGACCACTCTCGGAAAACCATCCTTTAGATCTGTGAATCGAAAAAACTCTGAAATTCACAGAAAATCTTCACCAAAAATTGAATTCACTTTACAATCTCAATTTTGATTCTATAAACTAATTCCTTCATCATTTCATTCTTCGATCGAGTTGTTGGATCTGTTTTCATCGTACATTATCAGGTATTTTTCTCTCTCCTCTTCTCTGATGTCTGATCATTTTGATTTCATTTCTTAGATCGATGATTTTGATTAATTGGGATTGTTTTGTTTTAATTTTTCAATTAGGGTTTGTGATTTGCTGAATTTTATTAGATCTAGTTGAAATGTAGTGTGAATTCGTCGGTAAGAGTTTGTTATCCAGATTAGGGTTCTTGTTTGTTAATTTTTTGATTGTTAGGGATAATCTGTTTGTGGGTTTAATTTTTTTGATATGATATGTTTTGTGGGATTGAATTAGGGAAAATGTAGCGTGTATGATGTGTTGATTGTTGGTGGTATTGAGTGAATTGTTGTGATTGGTGAGATTTGTTATTGAATTTTGATTTTCGTTTATCAGATCTGAGTAAAAGGTATCGAAATCATGGAGAAAACTTGTACGCTATTGGTGCACTTTGATAAGGGCACACCGGCATTAGCCAATGAGATCAGGGAGGCATTGGAAGGCAGTGATGTGCCGGCGAAGGTAGATGCAATGAAGAAGGCTGTCATGCTTTTATTGAACGGTGAGACGATCCCACAATTATTCATCACCATTGTTCGGTACGTCTTACCTTCAGAAGATCACACTATTCAGAAACTTTTGCTGCTTTATTTGGAAATCATTGATAAGACTGATGCTAAAGGGAAGGTGCTCCCTGAGATGATTTTGATTTGTCAAAACCTAAGGAATAATTTTCAACACCCTAACGAGTATCTTCGAGGTGTTACGCTTAGATTTTTGTGTAGATTAAATGAGAGTGAGATCATTGAGCCGTTGATTCCATCCGTGTTGCAAAATCTGGAGCATAGGCATCCATATGTTAGGAGGAATGCTATACTTGCTGTCATGGCTATCTATAAGCTTCCACAGGGGGAGCAGCTCTTGGTAGATGCACCTGAGACCATTGAGAAGGTGCTCTCCACTGAACAAGATCCATCAGCAAAGAGGAATGCATTCCTCATGCTCTTTACATGTGCCCAAGAGAGGGCAATTAGCTACCTATTTACCCACATTGATCGAATCTTGGATTGGGGTGAGCAGCTTCAGATGGTGGTTTTGGAGCTGATCAAAAAGGTTTGCCGGACCAATAAGCATGAGAAGGGGAAGTACATAAAGATCATTATATCTTTGCTCACTGCCCCTTCAACAGCTGTCATATACGAATGTGCTGGTACCCTAGTTTCTCTATCATCAGCACCTACAGCTATTAGGGCCGCTGCTGATACTTACTGTAAGCTACTGCAGTCACAAAGTGACAACAATGTCAAGCTTATTGTGCTTGATCGTTTGAATGAGCTGAAGACTTCTCATAAGGAAATCATGGTTGAAATGATTATGGATATTCTTCGTGCTCTTTCTAGTCCTAATCTTGACATCAGGAGGAAGACTTTAGATGTTTCCCTTGAATTGATTACTCCTAGGAATGTTGATGAAGTAGTTCTCATGCTGAAGAAGGAAGTGGTGAAGACTCAAAGTGCTGATCTTGAGAAGAATGGAGAGTATAGGCAAATGCTTGTTCAAGCCATCCATACGTGTGCTATGAAATTCCCAGAGGTGGCTAGCACAGTTGTCCATGTGCTAATGGATTTCCTTGGAGACACAAATGTTGCTTCAGCTATTGATGTTGTGGTTTTTGTGCGGGAGATCATTGAGACCAACCCCAAATTACGGGTCTCTATCATAACAAGGCTTCTGGATACCTTTTATCAGATCCGTGCAGCAAGAGTTTGCTCTTGTGCTCTGTGGATTATTGGGGAGTATTGTCTTTCTCTCTCCGAAATTGAGAGTGGAATTGCTACCATTAAGCAATGTCTTGGAGAACTTCCATTTTACACTGCCACTGAGGAAGGAGAGGGCCAGGATGCTCCTAAGAGGGACCAACTAGCCAGCAGTATCACAGTCTCTTCTAGAAAGCCTGTGGTTCTTGCAGATGGAACATATGCCACTCAAAGTGCTGCACTAGAAACTGCTATGTCCCCCCCTACCTTGGTTCAAGGGTCTTTGGCTACTCAAGGAAATCTGAGATCTCTGTTGCTATCTGGTGATTTTTTCCTTGGCGCTGTTGTTGCCTGCACTTTGACAAAGCTTGTTTTGAGGTTGGAGGAGGTTCAACCATCCAAGGTTGAAGTGAACAAAGCAATAACAGATGCCTTACTATATATAGTGTCCATGATTCAGCTTGGGCAATCACCTGTTCTCCCACACCCTATTGACAATGATGCTTATGATAGGATTGTTCTCTGCATCAGACTTCTGTGCAACACTGGGGATGCAGCTAGAAAAATTTGGCTTCACTCTTGCAAAGAAAGCTTTGTTAATATGCTTGCTGACAAGCAATTCCGTGAAACTGAGGAGAGGAAAGCCAAGGCCCAGATTTCTCACTCTCAACCTGATGATCTCATTGACTTCTATCATTTGAAGAGCAGGAAGGTTAGTGTGAATTTTCTATTTATTTATGGGTGGTGGGTGTATGGTAGAATCATGTTTATCAAATTTATCAGATAGGGTTAGATAAAAACAACAAGATTTTATTTTAATGGTTTATGAATTGTGTGAATACTTTTTTTTGCTTTTCAATCTGCATAGACCAGTAGACTGCATTTATCATACAAAATGGGTAGTTCTTACCATATTTATTCCAAGTTTAAATTAGCTTTTATTTGATACAATAAGCGATAGGGACAGAGTTAGCAGACATAAAAAAGTTCGAGCTGCTCTCTTGTTTAAACTTTCGAGTTCCTTATCTTGAGCTTTCCTTTATGCTAGTGTGGAAGAAGACTAATTTGATAACGGCTTGTATTTTTCCTGTATTTCTCGTGGAACGTAATTAAAGTAATATATATATATATATATACTTTTTTTTTTTGGGCATAGTATACCTAGTTTAAGCTTTATATGCAGTTGAACTATGTTCGAAAAGTGCTTAGGATTGCCTTATGCAGATAATTTTTCCAATAACCATAATTATCACAGATTATCTTGCCTTCCTAGATTGTTCATGTGGTAAATGTCTTTGCGTCCATTAATGTCTCTTACTTCCTCAGGGCATGAGCCAGTTGGAATTGGAAGATGAGGTTCAAGATGATTTGAAACGTGCAACCGGAGAATTTACCAAGGAAAATGATGATGCGAACAAACTTAATCGCATTCTTCAGCTCACAGGGTTCAGTGATCCAGTTTATGCTGAGGCCTATGTTACAGTTCATCATTATGACATTGTCCTTGATGTTACTGTTATTAATAGAACAAAGGAAACCCTGCAAAACTTATGCTTGGAATTGGCAACCATGGGTGACCTTAAACTTGTGGAGCGTCCACAGAACTACACTCTGGCACCGGAGTCAAGCAAACAAATCAGGGCTAACATTAAGGTCTCCTCTACTGAAACAGGAGTTATATTTGGTAATATTGTCTATGAGACTTCAAATGTGCTTGAACGTAATGTCGTTGTCCTCAATGACATCCACATTGACATTATGGATTACATTTCTCCTGCAACCTGTGCTGATGTTGCATTCAGATCTATGTGGGCTGAGTTTGAATGGGAAAACAAGGTATGCGTTATATTCACAGTGCTCAATGTATTTTCAGATTACTTATTATTTCTAGGAAATGCTTTGTTATTTGGATTTCTTAACGTGTTATGAAAAAGAGCTTATACAGTCTGCTCTGTGTTTGGTATGATTATGATGTTTTTAAAGTTATGTTATCTTCCGGATGCTTGATCTGTAGCTATCTTGTGGTGACTCTTTGTTAGACTAACATTTGGTTTTTTTTGGACATTATTTGTTGGCTTCTTTCCAACTTGCCATTTTAGGAGAATCTTTGTTGTAAACTGTTGTGGTTGAATTGTATGGTTCGTAATTACTCTTATTGATATATTTTATATGACAATGTATGCTTCTTATATGTAGCAGATCATCACTTGACTGCATTGGGACTAACTTTTCTTCAATGCGTGTCAATTGATAATTAGCTTCTATATTGTGTGTCAATTGATGAATTAATCCCTGTCCCTTACTCCCCAAGTGGGGGAAAGCTTTGATCAAATAATTTTTGAACATTCTACTGCTCTCATTCTTGGTCCCCAGGTCAATTCTGAAATAGATTTTCATGAGTTCCTTTATATATTCTGATGTCTTCCATAACAACACTTGGTGTTGGTGGACTAAACTGAGTCCTTTAATTAGTTGTCGTCGTGTATATGAACTTGACATTAATTGGATGAACTAAGTTAAATTGTAGAAATGTGTGGATTCCTCAATTTTACCATGCTTGTTTATTGGGTGAGAAAACAGTGGAAAAGTAAAAATGTCGAAATATCCATATTGTTTTAGTGAGCTTAGTTTTCTTTTCAAGACCAATGGAATAACCGGAGGGGGGGGGGGAGGGGAACTAAAAGATGATTACGATTCTACGTACAATTTAATAGTTTTTCTCATCAAACAAAGTTTGAATAAGTCAGTCAATCAATCAATCAAAGCCTTAATCCCATAAGTGGGGTCGGCTACATGAGCCAAATTTGATTATTTTGTGTAGTCATCAACCAAAATCTTCCTCCTCCCTCCCTTACGATCCAATGCCTCCTCTCCATAGTTTTGACTTTTTTCCCTTTAGTTCAAGATTCGTGAACACATTGAATGTGCCAGTTTAAGACTGCCTTTTCTTTGCTTATTTTTAAGAGTCGGAAACTAAACTCTGGTTCCTCCCAAGTTTAGTCACATATGTCATTTATTGGACCTCCAGAACAAAGTTATCACATAGTATTTAACTATCTTTGCTGCTATGACTTGTTTTTGTCTGGAATTGCTATTTTTAATTTCTAACTGAGGTGTCTTTGTAAATTATTTTGCATGGCTTATGTACTATTACTGTTGTATACTTGCAACTAAGTCATTAGGTGTTTTCAGGCTCCTACAAATTGTATGATTGATTATGTATTGACATTTAATGACTGGATACGGAGTATTACACTGGTGTTTTGTTGGTTTATGCTTTTTAAAAATTGCAGTGTCCCCCTTTTCTGAAGGCTAATTCCTCTTTATATCAACCCTGGTTTTAATATTCAGTTGGGATGTGAATGGCATTTACTCACTTTAGTATCATATTATTTTCCCTAATCAGGCTTATAAATCTGACATTGCCTACAGGTTGCTGTGAACACTGTAATTCAAGATGAGAAGGAATTCCTGGATCACATTATCAAGTCGACTAACATGAAATGCCTTACTGCACCGTAAGTCTTGTGATGCAACTATCAGCTTTATCTAAGAACTCATATTAATAATTTTGCTTCAACTAGTATAAGATATTTTCTCGCACTTGTTGATCTGTTTTTCTGTTTGGTATCAGATCTGCCTTGGAAGGAGAGTGTGGTTTCCTTGCAGCAAACTTATACGCTAAAAGTGTCTTCGGTGAAGATGCTTTGGTGAACGTTAGTGTTGAGAAACAATCAGATGGCAAGCTCAGCGGTTACATCAGAATTAGGAGTAAAACACAAGGCATTGCCCTCAGTCTTGGGGATAAGATCACCCTGAAACAGAAGGGAGCTGCTTGATCAATACTTCATCGTTACAGTATAGGAGTTTCCCTGTTTCTGCTTCACTATCATTCATTGTGTCATGTTGCTATCGGCATGACTGTTGCATATCCTTATACGCACTTGTTTTTTTTAAAAGAGGGAGATTTTTGATTTTCCTATTGTTAATTTTTGTATTTTCAGTTTTCCAGTGTCGGAAAGTTAGCCTTAAGCGGATATTCATTTCTTTATGTCTTGAGATGTATGTCTTATGTTTACCTCATTTTGTGCTTTCAACTGAGGAATACTTTGTACAATGTAGACCTCTCCCTCGAGGTTATATGACTAGCGCTGTTCAATCTTTTCTCCATTGCCATTTCCTTCTCTCAACATTATTTAGCAGTTTAGCACTTACATCTTTCTAACTCTCTGATCGCCTTAAGCAGAACACAATTGCACATATGTAACTTGTTTATTTCCCACATTAAGAAATCCCAGCGCGGTACGCATCTTTTGTCAAATTATGTGTCATCTTATGTCCCATTACCTCTAATTTTGCCAGACTTCATTCACCACACTCCAAGGACATGATACACATATTGGTACATGATTACAATCTGAACTTCAATAAATGTGTTGGCTAATAGAAAGTTTCATAATAGATGTTGCACAATTTCGCGATTTTTGTTTATGTTTTGGCCTATAGGAGTCAAGATAAATAAGCTCCTCCTGTATATTTAGGTTGATAAACTATGAACTTTTTGTTGCCGCTTAGTTTATCTTCCAGTGGTTGAACTGCTGCTGTAGTGCATGCTAGTGCCAACAGCATAGAACAAAATCCAATTGCTTGTAAAATCTTCCTATAAAAGCTAAGTCAAAACTTTTCTCTTACTTTAGTTATCTTATAATTTAATGTTACTCCGTACTACTTACTCAATTAACTACAATTCTTATGTTCAGGTATATCTATCAAACACGATATTTCATCCAAAATATTCGTCAGACCAAGCCGCAGCAAGTTTTCCACATAAGATCATTAGTTATTATTTGCAAGTTTTCTGATGGTATAATTTTTCATTCAGGACATCACTAAAAGTATCTCAAATGAATAGTTAGTTGAGGTTAAGTAAGAATCTTGCCCCAAAAGTAAGGATTGTTTGTTTAGAATCTGCTGGTAAACTCCCCCTTCTCCTGACTTATATTTGGTAAAGTTTGGTGAAGATAGTAGATATGGATTTCTCAACTCCCAGTTTTAAGGACAAGAAACCTGATAACCTGTTGACTTACCTTTACATATTTCTTTGCAATTGTTTCAGAACTCAGAACTCTAAGCTACTCAAAAACATCAGCCTTATGGTTGATTCACAGATTGGCGGTTGCTGAGAGCAACATGGACAAGCTCTTAGCTGCCAGGCAGTGCCTAAAAGACAGTCTTGAGAAATCAAATTCTTTGGCTTCTCAGATAGATGAAACCAAGTCAAGGTTACAGAAGATAAATGGTAACTTACCGTTGTTATCAACTGAGCTTCGTTCTACTTACTCTCGAAAATCCACATTTTCTGCAGTGGGAGAGCATGTGGACAGGGCCTTTGGACCTGTAGCGGCTGTTTTGAAGATACATGAATCTGTTTGTGGCCTTGAGAGGTCGCTCATGGAAGGCCCTCTAGGTGGTGATATTACGGGGTATTTGTTAGTAGTGAAGCAATTTGAAGAGGCACTGATGTTTCTGTCTGACAACTGTGGGCTAGCAGGGCAGTGGATGGAGGATATAGTGAAGCTCTTGGATGAAAATGTAATGGCTGATGAAAAGTACATATTGAATGTGAAGAGGTCATTGAGGGTTCTTTCGGAACTCAAGGACATGGAGGCGCATGCTAGGCTCAACGGAGGACTTTTAAGCAATGCATTTAACACATTAGAGCTCACGTTCAGGAATTTAGTGAAGGAGAATTCTAGTAACAACGCCTCATTCACAGAGCTGCAGGTTCACAAACTTCAAATCATTATCGAAAGGTTAAAAGCACATGATAGGCTTGAGAACTGCATGGCTATCTTTGTTGATGTAAGGAGCTCAAATGCAAGGGCAGCTTTACAAGCCCTTAATTTGAGCTACCTTGAAGAAGAAATCTCTGAATCAGATTCTATTCAGAAATTTGAAGACCATACAGTTCAATGGGGTAAGCATTTGGAGTTTGCTGTAAAGCATATACTTCAAGTTGAGTATGATATTTGCAAGACAGTCTTTGAGAAGTTTGGTTCAGAGATTTCTCTAGGATGCTTTGCAAAAATCACAGTTCAATCAGGATTCTTAGAACTACTCAAATTTGGCAGTAGGATTACTGAGGCCAAAAAAGATGCAATCAAGCTTCTGAAGTTGCTTGACATATTTGCAGTCTTGGACAACCTGAGGGCAGATTTCAACATGCTGTTTGGCTCAAAAGCATGCCTAGAGATTCAAAATCTTACGCGAGACCTCATCAAGCAGGTAGTTGAGGGTGCGTGTGAGATATTTAAGGAACTCTCCCATCAAGTTGAGGCCCAAAGGTACAACATGATGCCTCCTTCAGATGGTAGTGTCCCTCGGTTGGTAACCTTTGTAACTAACTACTGCGTTATGCTCCTAGAGGACAATCACAAGCCAATTCTCTCAAAAGTCCTCTCCATCCATCAAATTTGGAACAAGAAAAAATCCCACAATGGAATTCTGAGAAACGAGTTCCAAAACATACTAGATTCCTTGGAGGTCAACCTAGAGACATGGTCAAAGACCTTTGAGGACACTGCACTGTCCTACTTTTTCCTTATGAACAATTACATATACCTGTATGACTTCTTCAAGGGAACAGTATTCGGCGATCTCATGGGAGAAAAGTTGCTACATGAGCACAAGCGAAAAATGCAAATCTATGCTCAAGCATACTTAAAACATAGCTGGGGAAAGCTTCCTGCTATACTAAGTGAAGATGAACTAATACTATTTTCCCTAGGTACAAATACTCAAGAACTAGTGAAGAAAAGGTTTCGAGATTTTAATGAAGCATTTGAGGACATGTACAGGAAGCAATCCGAGTGGGTGGTAGCAGACAATGCATTACGCGATAAGGCATGTCAACTCATAGTTCATACAATTGTTCCAACTTACAGGTCTTATGTTCATAATTATAGTTACCTAGTAGAAAATGAGTCTAGTCCTAGTAAATATGTTAAGTACTCTGCATCAAGCTTGGAGGCTATGCTTAGCTCTTTGTTCCAGCTTAACATAACCAAATTTGGTCGTAGTAACAGCTTAAAATCGAACCATTTGATTGGGAAACTGCGAAATGCTGTTGCTAATCAGTTTCGTGTTGCTCCGATCAGTACATGATCTGTTGTATATACAGCTTTTCTGTTTTCTGATGTAGTTCAGTCTAGTCTGAAATGCATATTCTGATGTCTTTGTACATAATTTGGTTAAATATAAATTCAGCTTCATTTTGTCTACACCACCTTCCTTTGAGAAAGTATAATCCCATCTTAGAGAGTGTATAAGGCTAAGTTCTAAAACCTTCTATATCATCAGGGTATGCTAAAAATAAACACATCATTTTCTGAAAGTTTATCTTAAATAAACACAACTATGGTTGGTCAAAAGAACAAGTAGAAATATGTGGAGTATATATAAATGTATAAATAATTAGTATCAATTTTTTCATACCAAAAAAAATAAAATAAAAAGGGAACTAGGAGGAAATGGGGAGTTCAAACATACTTAGAATATTTTCTCTGTTTCAAACTGAATTGTTCTTACTTTCTAGTATTTCACACTTAAATGCACATCTTTGGTTACCAATTGTTCTAATTACATATTGATAAAAATTATGAAAATTGAAGTATTTTGAACCTACACATTGAGTGAATATTATGTTATTTCCTGATATATCAACCAAGGCATTCAAAAAGTACTAAACAAGGGAATATCAACAGGGAGAGTATATATGATTCAATATATTTAGGAAAAAAAAAAAAATCACTCAATGTAACCTTAAACACACGGGACCGATAAAATAATATTAGAATAAATACACTAGTTTTTATTACATTTTTTTTTTATTTGGTAGGTAAGGAGAAGGCGTCCTATCGAACCAGAACCTCGCACTAGTCAACCCAATTTAAGTACTTGAGTATAGAGCAAAGTTATTTGGAAGTTTGGAGGTGGGGGCACCCCCACCACTACTTAGTAAATGTATTTGACATTAGATCTCTTAAATGGACAAATAATTACGGATTACTTTATAGTTTGTACAATACAACACTCCATAACAAGTGAGTTCAAGATTAAAATAAGATAGCTATGTTTTTTTTCCTTTCGACTTCAATCATTATAGTGACTAAACACATGTACACTTGAATAAGATTGATGAAATTTCCAATTAACACCTTTACTAAAAAATCAATCGTTGAGCATAGATGTAAAGTAGCAAGTAAGGTGCATAATTTTGGAGCATTGCTATAAGTTTGTCTTCATATTTACTATAACCAAGATCCCATCTCATTTCCTTTCATATGTGGCCAACAATTAAGAAATTATCGTAACAATACCACACTTACACTCAACCAAAACAAAACCAAATAAATAAATGAATAATAATATGCCAAAATACTTCCGATCTAAATCTGCAATAATAGCCAAAAACTAGCAATTTCCTCCAATCTAACCTTACCCCACAAATTAATATTTTTAAATATGAACATGCGATAACTCTTTTTACACCACTAAATTATTGAGTAGTAGCTGGATTTAGCTGTCAATATTCTATTGGTTTGCTATATATGACTATTACATGTTATATAATAGCCCACCAAAATAGAAATTAGTACACTACTAAACTTGATTACATAAACTGGCAGGAAGAAGAATAATGGCTAATCTTATTGAGAAGGGGACTAAGATCATCGGTGTTGGCCGTAACTATATCGACAACAACCCCGCTCCGTTGCCTAAGGTTTGCCTCTTTTCCTCGTTTTTCTTTTTAGTAAGGGTATAATGGTAAAATCAATCACAGTTTGTGAATTTAGTAAATGTATGTGACAACTGTCTCTGGACATGTTAAGAAAAGTTATAAAACGTGACTATTAATTTGTGACGAGATGATTGACTTGTTTGATGTGTGTTTTATTGGGTGAATAGGAACCAGTGTTGTTCTTGAAGCCAACATCATCATACTTGGAAAATGGAGGAACAATTGAAATCCCAGCTTCAATGGAGCAAGTTTGGTATGAAGCTGAGCTTGCTGTTGTTATTGGCAAGAAAGCTCGCGATGTTTCTGAGGCCGAGGCCTTGGATTACGTTGGAGGTTCGTCTCTCTTCGTCTTCTTACTCTTTTACTCTCTTAGCCACATTTGATTGAAGTTCAATTACTGAGAAATATGGTGAAAATCATCACAACCTATTATAACGTTATCTATTTTAGAATAAATTATACATCATAAATGTAAAGAGTAATATTATGTAATGAAATTGTAATATTCACAACTCATATAGTTGGTAGGATAAATGACGATAATAATTGTTAGTAGTGACCACATTTTTTTTTTTTTTTTTTGAGGAATAGTAGTGACCACTTAGTTGTTAGTGGTTTGACAAAATAACATGCAATTTTTTTTATTCTGGCTTAACAATTGTAATTTTAATTTATCTACTTCATTGGGATCTAAATTTAATTTTAATATGTTTCAAAAAAAAAAAAATTAAAAAAAAATAATAATAAAAAATGAATTTTGGTAAGACATGATTGATGATTGGGGTCTTTTTTGGACTGTCCACATTGTCTAGGCCCATCAGGTTGGCAGCCTAAAACCCAATCTAAATTCCTATGACACATGACTAAAGAAAATCACTTGCATTGTTTTGGAGTTTCAAATTATAATGTACAATAATAATACAGGTATAAAATCACTCTTAAAAAGTCTGTTACAAAGCAAATTAGAAATGAGATTTGTTGACAATCTCTATATTGTACTTTATCAAATAGTAATACTGTGAATACTCTGAATTTTTTCTAACTCGAAATAAAACTCCTAGATCACAATTGATTTAGTTCGTTTTTAAGAGTTGAATTGAAATTTCATACTTCATGAGACCGTGACTATCTTTTTTTTTTTTTTTTTTTTTGACAAAGAGACCGTGACTATCTCTTGCACTATGTAAGTTTTTATGCATAAGTATATAGAAAGAGGTATTGTATATTTGGGGAAGGGGTACGAGAAACATGTGACATACTTATACTAGTTAAGAATAAACGAGTAATTCGTAGGAAGAGTGAAAGTAATGCACTTGACTATTGTGAGGTTCTTTTAGGCTAAAGTTGGTATATACTAAGTACTTAAATTACTACATGATAAAAACTAATCTGTTTTGTGTTTACTAACTTTTTTCCACATTCTTTTGAATTAATTTTGGAAAGAAAGCTAATTAGTGTAATCTTGATTTTTCAGGTTATGCTCTAGGACTTGATGTGACAGCAAAGGAACTCCAAGCTACTATTAAGGTAATATGCTTACATTTTTAGACATTAACCTGTATTACTATCAAATATAAGTGTCAAAGTTAATTATATTGACATAAGGTTCCTGTCATGAAATTCTGTAGCAAACATTCAAATGCTTCTCTAACTTTATGTTTCACATTTTCTTCTTTGTATCTATTAGGCTACAGGTCTTCCATGGCTACTAGCTAAGGGACTCGACACGTTTACACCCATCAGTGAAATGGTAAGACATAATTTGTATAAATCATGTATTCGAGCTCTCTTCTATCGAATTCAATACATTACTAGGAGTCTAGGACAGTATGTGGCTGGATTATTTATCTTTGGTTTGTCAATTTTCTGCAGATTCCCAAAACTGCAGTGCCTGATCCTCATGACTTGGAGTTGTGGCTAAAGGTTGGTCTATCAGACCTTATTTGTTTGTGATTTTTCCAGTTAACTATGAAACGCGTACTATCCTTGTTTGTGATTGCTCGAACAAAATCTAATCCTAGTTTACTTGACAAAAGGTTGATGGAGAATTAAAGCAGAAGGGATCAACACAAGATATGATATTCAAGATCCCGTACCTCATCAGCCACATCAGTTCTTTCATGACACTTTTAGAAGGAGATGTTATCCTAACCGGTATGTATTGCTTAAGCTTTGCTGCTTATTTGTCAAACTGTTGTTTTTCTTGAAGACTAGTCTATCTGCAATTACTGCAAATGCTGCTGTGCCTGTGTTGTGCTGTGAATCTTTGTCATGAATTCGATGTTTGATTGTCATGACTGTCACTTAGTACTGTATGTAATACTTCAGACTTCCAGCCTGCATTGTATCATACTGTTACATTGTTTTCTACAGAGTTCATCAATGTGCCCTGCCTTCACCTCCCCTGATCACCTACAGGGGAGGCGGTGTGCAGCTTAGGATACTAATCGAGAAAAATGACCACTTACTGTTTTATCCTCTATGTTGCATTGATTCATTTTCCTGGTCTATTTTGTAATGTTCTCTATGTTATGATAAATATACACATCTGAGTTGTCCTGCATACACGTCTAGTTTGCTACTCCACCTATTGCCAACTGGTTTTTTGAAAGAAACACCGATTAGTCTTCTATGTAGTGAACTATTAAACTCAGAGTCCTGAACTATTAAACCTATAAACTGTCAACTGAAGCTTTCTCTCAATAATGTTGTGCAGGCACCCCAGAAGGTATTGGGCCAGTGAAACCAGGCCAGAAAATTACTGCTGGTATAACAGGTCTGGTAGATGTTAATTTCAGTGCTGAGAGACGGAGCACACCAGTAAGCAATTAATCGCGATGTTTAGGACTGCCATTTCCAGTGGAAGCATCAATTGTTTATTTCAAGTTATTTGTTTAAGTTGCTGATGATTTCATACCTTTCTCCAAGCTGGAAAGTATCAGTAACATAATAAATTGTTGCAAGATTTGAGCTTATTAAGTTATGTATTCTTGTACAATATCAAGTTAAGAATAAGAATTGTGTATGTAACTAGGAAGAACAGTTTCCCAAGAGAATTTAAATTTGCAACTAGAGTAAGGGTCTGGTTCTTGGCTAAAATTTTGAGTTTCTCTTAGTCAAATAAAGAAATCAAATGTGTATTTCTTTAATTAGACCACTCTCAATGGTGAGCAAAAAAAATGCTCACCCACTCTCTCTCTACCCACTCTCTCTCTACCCACTTTCTCTCTCAAGAAATAAGTTTTGCTCATGGGCAAATTTTTTTCACATATTCTCTCCCAATGGTGAGCAAAAAAATTGCCCACCCACCACTCTCTCTCTCTTACTTTTTCAATACCCCACCATTACTTTCTCTCTCCTACACAACACTTCTTTATTTATTTATTTCATTTATATTTTAACAATGTTACTCCAAATAAATAAAAACTAGTTAAAATTTGTGTAACTTATTTTTTTTTTTGTCCTTTTTATCGTTAAAATTTGTCGTAAAATTAAGTACGTTATATAAAAAAAAATTTAAAAAAAGCTCAAAATTTCTTAAATGTTTTTATTTATTTTAAAAGCGGTACAATACTAGAAACCAATTACATTTGCAACGTCATGCGTAATTAAACTTAGGAAATAAAATAAACACAACAAGTAAAAGTAGCTACGCCATAGTACTTGGCTTTATTTAAGTCGTGCTAATTTCTCCCTAATTACGTGGCCCGTAGTGTTGCCAAATATGTTCGACTAAATCACGTTTCAGAGATAGATGAATTTCTCTGTCACGGAGGGAAGCTTTTCGCTGTAGAAATGCGTTGAAATCAAAGTTGGTAGGTCGGCCTACGTTGAATTCAAACGGTGGCGTTGTAGATGTTGATGCTGGTGTTGATTCTTGTTGATCTTCTTCGTAGAAGGCTCTTAGAACTTCGGCTCGAGTGTAGTTGTGGCGCTCATCTTCAACAATCATGTTGTGCATAATGATACATGCTTTCATTATGTCCCGCAGTATATCCTCATCGTACGCCAGCGACGGTTTTCGTATTATTGCAAATCGAGCTTGCAACACACCGAAAGCTCTTTCAACGTCCTTTCGAGCGGCAGCCTGGTGGTCAGCGAACATTTTATCTTTGGCCAGTTGAGGGAATGTGATACCCTGAACAAAAGTTGCCCACTTCGGATAAATGCCGTCGGCTAAATAATAAGCCATGTTGTATTCATGGCCGTTAACCGTAAAATTTACCGGAGGAGCTCGACCATGCAGAACCTCATCGAACACTGGTGAACGGTACAACACATTAAGATCATTACAAGATCCGGGAATACCAAAGAAGGAATGCCATATCCATAAATCCTGATCCGCAACGGCTTCCAGTATCAGCGTTGCTTTCTTGTTCCTACCGGCGTACTGCGCTTTCCAAGCCGTTGGACAGTTCTTCCATTCCCAATGCATGCAATCAATGCTGCCTATCATGCCTGGAAAACCACGCAGTTCATTTTGATGCAGTATCCGGGCCAATTCATCAGTTGTAGGGTTTCGCATGTACTCGGTTCCGAACTGGTCAATGACCCCGGCACAAAAACGTTGTAGGGCAACTCGAGCGGTTGACTGACTGATTCGAACGTATTCATCAACAGCGTCTGCAGCCATGCCATAGGCTAACATTCGTATCGCGGCTGTACATTTTTGCATAGGTGATATGCCTAACTTTCCAGTTGCATCCCTACGCTGCTGGAAGTAAACATCACCTTCAACGACCTTGTTCATTATACGTAAAAACAAAGGTCGTTGCATACGAAATCTTCTTCTAAATTGGGTGGTATTGTACACAGGATTATCAGAAAAATAATCATTGAACAGCCTGGCATGTCCCATTTCCCAATCTCTTCTGTTCGTACCCCCTCTACGTGATGTTGAAGTACGTTGGGATTGTGTTTGGGCCATGAGGAAAGATGTGGGTTGGTATGTGAAGAGTTCATCAACGAGTTGATCATATTCTTCATTATTGGAAGAAGATGAACTTGAACTTGAACTTGATGATGGTCTGGAATACATCATGTATTAATATTGTAATTTCTGAATTGGTGTGGTTGTGGATATGTGCCATGCCTACTATATATAGCAAATAAATCAAATGAATATGTGGTTACAAATCTGAATGACCACACCAACTAAAGCATTCAAATTTTCAGCCACGGAATAGGTATACTATGCTAGTTGACAATGACAAATCTTGACAAAGTGAATTCAGAACAAAAGTGACTACACCATGTCGGTATGAATGACCTAAAGTTAAAGCATACTGACAAAGTTAATTCAGAAACATGTGACTACACAATGACAAAAATGTGACTACATGTTAAACATAAAAGACTACATTGCGCATAATTAAAAACTTAAAAGACTACATTGCGCATAATTAAAAACTTAACTAATACAAGCGTACACCTACTACAACCAAACATGCTTATAAGCCCTGTAATTTACCCAGTAAGAAATTCTTGTACGACTCTTCTTCAGGAGTGAGTGGCGTAGGCGAATTCTTCATAGCTTGCACCATATCAAACCAGGTTTTCATCTTATGAATGTCAAGTTCCTCCCTTTTCCTCTGTTCCTTCTCCCTTTCAATTTTGATCCGCTCTTCCTTCAGAATGGCCTCCCTCTCGCGAATTGTTGCCAATTCCTTCATTCGTTCGCTAAGCTCAGACGAACCACTGTCCGAAGCTACTTCTTTCCCTTTACGCTTGGCCTTTGCTTTCTTCACACCTTCGGGTCGTTGTATTCCTCCAGATGAAAAACCATCCGTAGGGGTTTCATCCCCTCCATCATCTCTGGACCTCTTCCCACTTCCAGCACTACCTTGCTCCTCAACATCACGAACAGCTTTTCTTTCCTCCTTTGACAAGGACCATCTCAGCTTTGGCCTCCACTTTGGATCTCTATTAAGCATTTCAACAGCGTGAGGAAAAGCGAAATTACGACCTTGGGCGAGATGGAAAAGCTTCGACGCACTTTTTATACGGTCAGCTTCGTTGTAACCACTCCCTCCCTCCGGAAGTCTACCTGCTTCATCATAGCAAGATATCCACTGTAGTGTGTCTGCTGCCAACCTTCTCCAGTGCGACGTCAGACTCTTCATAGGTCTTGGTGGAAGTAAATGCGGCTTCTCCGCATGAGCAAGTTGATATGCTGCGTGTACATCGCGCCAAAGGGAAGTTGCTTTCTGGCTCGTGCCTTTAATAGCATTCTCGCTGATCTCCAAGTACAACCTAATCAGAGTTTCATCTTCCGCAACTGACCAAATTCGAGTCGCTCGTGCAACAACCTGGTTGGATTTCAGTTCCGGAACTGGTGGAGGATATTGCGGCGTCTCTGGTACGCTGTCTTCTTCGCAGTCATCGAATTGTGTGTTGCTATTATGTACAATTTCAGGTGTACATTCTTCATTAACATGGTTTCGTAGGGGAAACTGAGTAGGTGTCTGACACTGTGGAGGTGGTTGCAAAGACGTATTGCCCATTCTTTGCAAGAACAATTGAAACTCGGGATTAGTTAGTAAATCATCACTAAAACCAGAAAATTGTTGACGGAAATTTGGGTTGTTTGGATCCATTAAAAGATTTTGCATCACAAAACAAAAGATAAATATTTTTACTAAGATTTACTCAAAAAACAAATTAAAATGACAACAACTCCAAAAAAATATCAACAACTTTATTAACCAATTCACATATATACTAATTTAAAGTCATAACTAAATTTTAATATTAAAAAAACAAATTAACCAATAATTTCAAGACTTTATTAACTACAAATTTAGTAATGTATGGAGAAAACATCAACAACTTTCTTCAATTACAGTACATGGCCTACAATATTTTTTTTAAAAAAAAACACACATATACTAATTTTAATACATAACTACATGTATATATTTAAAATAAAATTAACCAATAATTGCAACACTATATTTACTACAAATTTAGTAATGTAAGGAGAAATTATCAACAACTTTCTTCAATTACATAAAGCAATTACATAACATGCCATACAATATTTTTTTTTCCCCAAAAATCACATATATACTAATTTTAATACATAACTACATGTATATATTTTTTAAAAAAAATAACCAATATTTAAAAAAAAATTTAAATATTTTAAAAAAATAAATTTACCTCAATATGGATGTTTTGCAACAAATATATTCTTCTACAAATTTAAAATGCTTAAGAAAATAAAAAAGTGGAGGATTTTAGGTGATTACGAAATTATATCAAAACATATCAAAATGCATGTCTATTTATAGAGAATTTAATTTTATGACAGTTGGTAATTTTTTTTTTTTTTTTTAATAAATATATTTTTCGGAAAATCAGTTACAAATAATATTACCGTTGTAAACGGCTAGTATTTTCTCATTGGTCAATCACCTGCGCACGACACGTGGCGAGCTCTGATTCGCCAGCAAGTCTGACGCGCTTTGCCAGCGATTATTTTTTTTTTTTAAGCGTCAAAACGACGCGTTTTGGAAGCGTCCCTTCAGACCACTCCATCAAAACGCGTCGTTTTGATAAGGGCCCAGCCAAATTTTTTTATTTCCGTCTGACTTGCTGTGGGGCCCACTCCTTCACTGTAGCAACAAGAAAATGCTCACTCTTTGGGCAAATTTCATTTTGCCCATGGGCTTTTTTTGGCTTGATCAAATTTTCTCACCTTCTACAATGGTGAGCATTTTATTTACCCATCAAATTTGCCCATGAGCAAATAAAATGCTCACCATTGGCATTGCTCTTACTTCTTCTTTTTACAAAAGCATATATATGACTTTCCATACAAGTTTGTCTATGCTTTCAAACAAAAATATTTTATGCAAGATTGAGAGATGTCAAATTGGGTATTCAACTTGGGTGTTGAGTTAATTTATATAATTATATGAAAAGCAATAATTAACCTTGGGTTAGTTGGTTACACCGTGCAACTAGGCGTATATGAAATTTTTCAAGACATCTCACATGATATAATTGATGTTTATAATAGTTAATTTATTACAATCAAAGTTATATAAATTTGACCATAAAATATAAAAGAAATAAGCAGGAACGAAAGAGTATTAGTTAAATGATCAATTCATCCATGTATATTATATTGGTTAAATAAACATGTACTCTCTATCTATACTTTGTATCAATCAATCAATAACAATATACTAAAAGACACACCAGTAATGACACGTGACAACTCCTGGTGTGTCCTAAGTGGGTTTTTTTTAAAAAAAAAATTATATTAAAGAAACAAATTCTATACAAAATAATGTTATACAATATAATTACTAAAAATAAAAAGATTTGACATATCTTTAATGCAAATATTTATATAGTTATAAAAAAAAAAAAAAAAAAAACCTTACTTAACATAATTTTGATTATTTTCTAACACAATATAATTAATAATAATGATTATTGAAAATTGACGTGCATGGCACGGGAACTAACCTAGTTAGTTAAAAAAGAAGTATGTATGCATATAGTATAGTTTAGCTGTAATTATTTAGGAAAAATTAACAAATAATGATTTATTTTTTCATGTACATTATTACAGTATTATTTTCACAATTGAAAATATTTATTGAATTTAAACACAAATATTGAGTGGATATATATTTTTTTTATTTTTCAGAAAATATATATATTAAATTAAATATTACAAGTAGATTACATTAGATCGGCTTTAGATTTCTTTCCACAAAAAAAAAGGATAGGCTGAATATTTCAGGAAAATTAACACATTGAGATTATTTTTTTTCAAGAAAACGTAATATAAAAAATTAATCTACTTTCTTAGCAGTTTCGTACTGAATGATTTTGTTTTAGGGCATTATTTTTATTTGTATTAACACAACTATAATTCTTTCTTTTTATTTATTTATTTATTTATTTGAGGAAATTTTATCTTTTTATCTAATATTTTCAAAAAATATTATAAGAGAAAATCCAACTAACCCAAGGTTAATTTTTTGCTTTTTATTTGAATTAACTCAACACCCATAATGCAAAGCAGTGACCTTATGAATAATACGGTCAAATTTTAGATTTTTTTACTGTATTTTTTTAACCAAATTGTGTTTTTGTTCAGTGGAGATTAAATACTACATTGATCTTTATTTATTTTTTTACTAAATTTTACTATCCATTAAAAAAAATAAAAAAAAATTTTGACTTTTAAATTCAATTTTAAAAAGTTTACTGTAAAAGTCAAATACTAAAATTGCGTTTCCTCAAAATTTCTAAAATTAGGAGAATAAATACTCTTTACTAGATGTAAATTTTAGATTTTTATTTACTGAGATTTTATATAAAATCTCATATTTTAGTGATGATTAAATATTTCTTACACATTATTATATCTTATATTAGGGCTTTTTTTTGTTTATCTTATTAATACAACGTAACTATAATTCTATCTTTTTAGCTAACAATAACCGCTTTAAAATATTGTCATAACAGAAAATCCACCAAAATTTATAACCCTAACCCATATTTAATTTATGGAAAGTACCCTTATCCAAATACAAATTTGCCCTAGCTTGCATATACGTTGTAATAAGTGTATAAATACTGTACGTCCCTACACTTTTCTTTCAACAAAATCAGATCAAATTCTCTTCACTTTTCTTTTAACAAATAAACCTTGTTCAAGTTTCATTCATAAGCTCAAATCAATTAATAATCATGGCTAGTTCGAGCTATGAAATGGTAGATTATTACTGGAATATGATTCCCCCGGGTTTTCGCTTTGACCCAAAAGATGAAGAATTGATTACTCATTACCTAGTTCCCAAGATTAATGGCGAAGCTTTGCCACCAAACAAGATGCATGACGCTGAATTGTACGGTGAGCGCGCTCCTCAAGATCTTATACGTAAGTTTTACGATGATTTTTTTTTTTCCGGTCTTAGCGTGATCTTATTTGTTTTCCTTTTAATTTATTCGTCTGAAATTAATTAATCGTTTGATGTTTGAACTTAACTAGTTAATTAAATCGATTATACAAAGAATTTTTTTTATGTCGATTGTACGTGCATGCATGTGGATAATCCCTTGAATTGCTATTCTGTGATCATATACCTTCATATGATTGTATTGTCCAATTATTGCATATCAAGAAATCATGAATTAAAAGAAAATTTTATTTTATTAATGAATATGCATACACCTATATAATTTTTGGCCAAGAAAATCATATGTTCATGTAATTAAAGATTAGGTTAAAAAAATTATGATATATAATCTTGAATTGATGATACATAAACTTGTCACTCATGCGTACTCAACGATTTAAGTTTTGTATAAACTATATAGCTAGTACTATTAAACTAATTCAAGATATATTCAACTAATTCAAGAATAGTCTTTAAAAAACAAATATTCTATGTGATGGGTGTTTAGTACTTTGTAATTTAATGGTTTCGTTATATAATAATTAATTAATATCATGATTATTTTTGATGCAGCGTATTATGAACCTGAAAGTGAGAACACTTGGTATTTCTTCACAAGATTAGAAAGATTATACGAAAACGGAAGTCGACCTAGAAGATCCGCTGGCAATGGTTATTGGAAGATGACGGGGAAGGAGATACCAATCACGAATAAACAAGGGAATGTTATTGGTTTTAGGAGGAATTTTGCATTCTTTATTAAAATCGAACCGAGCCTTCCTAAACAAAAAGACGAGCCCAAGGGAATTAAAACACCATGGCTCATGCACGAATTTAGGGTTAATAATGTTCCTTCAACCTCCGAGCCTAAATCGAAAAGACGTAAAACAAATTATCATGATGGTACTTCACCATCCCAAGGCTCCAAACCAAAAAATATGGTAAGCAATAATTAATTACACTTTATAGAGTATAACTTTGAAGCAATTTGTAGAATCTTTTACCAAAATGGCTATTTTGACAAAAAGTATTTATCAAAACGGCTAATTTTAAAATTTAATTCCCAAACTAGCTAAATTTATTGATTTGGAAGGATATTATTTATTTTTTATATTCCTTTGAACCCGTTCGATTCACTTTATGTTTTTATAATGTTTCTGTACGCTTTTAAATGGATTTTAATAAGTTTTTGTTTTTTATTTATTTGCAGTTGGATGGTTGGGTGTTATGCAAAGTTTATAGACTTGTTAGAGATGTCGAGGTTGAAGCTCTTAACCCGGCTCATCAAGAAGAGGAGCAACATCAAGCTATTGAACAACCTGTTGCCCTAAATAATGAAGCTAATAATGATTTACTACAAAGAGATGTCGTCAGCATGGTTGAAGAGCAAGGGGTTGAACAACATGTTGTTGCCCTAAATAATGGAGCTAATGATGACTTAATTATTCCAAAGATCGAGGTCGAGTATAGTTTTGAACATTTACATCACAATCAAGAGGATAATTTGCAATATTTACAAAGAGATGTCACGGTTGTTGAAGCTCCAAACTCGGCTCATCAACATCTTCAGTATTATCATCAAGGGGTTGAACAACCTGCTGCCCTAAATGATTTACTTGACTATACTTTTCAACATCAACAACACAATCAAGATATGCCGCAATTCTCACAAGAGGACTCGGAGTTTTTATACAACATTTTTCCACGTTGTGATTGAATATGATCGAAAAATATTTGTATGTTATAAACTTACTGTTATATCCTCTATGTTGCATTATTGATTCATTATCCTGGCTATTTTGTAATCTTCACTATGTTAAGATGAATATACACATCTGAGTTATCCTGCATACACGTCTATATTTCTTACTAAGTATATCTTGTATTAGGTCATTTATTTTATTTTATTTTATGAACTTAACTATAATTCTTTTTTTTTTAAAGCTAGGGACGACTATAATTCTATCTTTTTATTAGCTAACAATAACCAGAAAATCCACCTAAATCTATACAAAAACTTTTGTATACATCCGGTTTACACTAGTATTAATGTACATCGAGCAGTATATGGGTAACTTTTAGCTAATTTAAGGTAACTTTTTGTTTTTTTTTGGGTAACTTTAATCATAATACAATTTTTATATAAATCAACAACAAGAAAAGTTTTATAAAGCTAATTTAATTACATTCAATCACTAATAATTGATTTTTAGTCATTTAAAATGTGATTCTTTACTAATAAAGCGTAGATAATTTTTATTTAAATTGGGTTACTTTAACGCATATTGGGGTAACTTTTATTCATTTTAGGGGTAACTTTTAATCACTTTAGGTTATCTTTATAATGGATGTACAATAATTATTGTACACCCGATTTTTTTAAAAGTTTGTGAAATCTATAACCCTAATCCTATTTTATTTATGGAAAGTATCCTTATCCAAATGCAAATTTGCCCTAACTTGCATAATAAGTTGTAATAAGTATATACTATATATATACTGTAAGTCATACTTGTTTTCTTTCAACAAAATCAGATTAAATTCTCTTCACTTTTCTTTCAACAAATAGACCTTCTTCAAGCATCATAAGCTCAAATTAAACAATAATGGCTAGTTCGAGCAATGAAACGGTAAATTTCTGGAATATGATTCCTCCAGGTTTTCGGTTTGACCCAAAAGATGAAGAATTGATTACTCATTACCTAGTTCCCAAGATTAATGGCAAAGCTTTGCCACCAAACAAGATGCATGAGACTATATTGTATGGTGTGCTTGCTCCTCAAGATCTTACACGCTTACGATGATTTTTTCCAGTCTTGATCTTATTTGTTTTCCTTTTAATTTATTCGTCTAAAACTAATTAATTGTTGATTGTATGCAAGGTGAATGTTATTAATGTTTGAACTTAACTAGTTAAATCGATTATACAAAGATATATTTTATATTGATAGTACGTGCATGCATGTTGATTGTATACCTTCAAATTATATGTTCATGTAATTAAAGATTAGGTAAAAAAAATTATGATATTATTTTATGTATGCTAGTTGATAATCTTGAATTCATGATACATAAACTTGTCTAATAATCTAATATAAAGGCATACTCATGCATATTCAACAATAAGTTTTGTATAAACTATACGTTATCCAGTTATCCTTTTGTTTATATTGCTCAAGATATATTCAAGAAGACAAGAATAGCCTTTTAAAAAAAAATTCTATGTGATGGGTTCTTTCTAATTTAATGGTTTAGTATCTCTAGAATTATTTCATTCTTGATTGTGTTTACTATGGTGCGTCAAATTTATTTTGTTTAATAATAATTAATTACATTTTGTATGTATCTCATGGTGATTAATTAAGATTATGTAGGTATTTATTGTATATAATAATAAATTTCTTGATTTTTGATTTAGTGTATTATGAACCGGAAAGTGAGAGGACTTGGTATTTTTTCACAAGATTAGAAAGATTATATGAAAACGGGAGTCGACCTAGAAGATCCGCTGGCAATGGTTATTGGAAGGCTACCGGAGTGGATGCAACAATAAGGAACAAACGAGTAATAATTGGTTATAGGAAGGCTTTAGCATTCTTTATTAAACTCGAACCCCCTCCAATTAATAAAAACGATCCCAAGGGAATTAAAACACCATGGCTTATGCACGAATTTCGTCTTGCCAATAATCCTTCAACCTCCGAGCCTAAACCCAAAAGACGTTAAACAAATTTTCATCATGGTACATCACAATCCCAAGGCTCCAAACGGACCAAACCAAAAAATATGGTAAGCAAATAATTACACTATAGAGTACAACTTTGAAGCAATTTATTTATTTGTAAATAATTTTACTAAGTACATGTTCTCTTACGTTGAAATTCAGTTCAGTTCAGCTCAATTCAGTTCAGTTTAGTTCAGCTCCTAATTTCCGTCTCTTATAAAATATTCATTTCATTTCAGATCAGTTCAGCTCAGTTTAGTTCAGTTGAGTTGAGTTCAGTCAATGAGAACAGACCCTAAGTTTTGTTTTTAATTTGCAGTTGGATGGTTGGGTGTTATGTAAGGTTTATAGACTTGCTAGAGATGTCGAGGTTGGAGCTCTAAACCCGGGTCATCAAGAGGAGCAGCATCTTCATCAACAGGAGGAGCAGCATCAAGCTATTGAACAACATGTTGGCCTATATAATGGAGAGATAATCATCACTTCCTTATTCCAGAGGTCGAGGATAGTTTTGAACATCAACAACGCAATCAAGATATGCCGCAATTTTTACCAGATGAGTTGGAGTTTTTACGCAACATTTATCCATGTTGAGATCCAGAATGAAAAGTATTTGTATGTATATATGTACGATTACTGTGTACAGTTGTGGAGTTGTGGTTAATAAGATTAATAAAAAAAAATCAATACCTTTTCTTCTTATTATTTTTAATTATTTTAACTTCATAAAATTGGGTCTAAGGAAGTGTGTCATCATCAATCGTAATTTGATCAATAAATGTGTAAAATAATTATACATGGTCCTTGCTTTCAACTCTCAAGATTTATATATACTAACAAAGTTACTCGTTGATAGAAAAGGTACAAAGAGGTAAAATTCACAACTAATACCAATAGTGGTTTTGATGATCTCATTCATTTATTACTAGTTTTGTCACTTGATAAACATCATTTTTTATCAACTAGATAAACTTATTCTCCAAGGTGTTACTAAGGTAACAACTCGTCTTGTGTGCGGCCGGTCACAAACGTATGACCACTTAAAGTAACTCCTTTAACATTGATCAAGTAACCCCTGTAATATCAATCAAGTAACCCCTATAACACTAATCGAGTAACTCTGTAACAATGATGAAGTAACCTCTTTAACACTGATCAAGTAACCCCCATTATACTAGCAAAGTATTCCCTATAGTGGCTGGCCACACGGTGTGGCCAGCCATATATAAGACTTTGTGTAGGTCCAATAGTGATGGAACATAGAATTTTATCTTGTGACATTAAAATTCCATGCCTGACCAACTCCGCTACATTATAATGAGTACTAGTTTGTATTGCACTAATTTGGTCTAGATAACAATTCCAGCTTTTTGGGCCCCAAAACATTGAGCCTGACATTCAGATAGAGACTGGCTTTCTTTTTAGCTACTCGTATGAACCAAAGCCGAGGAAAATACATTTGTCTCCAGAACCATTTAGCAACTTGGACATAAAAAGAAGCAACTTGGACCAAATGAACCAAGTGATTTTTTATTTTTTATTTTTATTTTTTTTACTAAGACCCACTTATGAGATTAAGAATTTAATTGATTGATTTATATATAAAAAAACTTTAATGAAGAGTGATGGTGTGGGTACTGATTAGGGGTTTAATAGCAAATAAATGGGGAATAAAAAATATGAATTGTCTTTTATATGAAGCTCATTCAATTCAAATTTTTTAGAAAAAAAGCTGATTAAAAAACTTAGAAATTACTAAACTCTTTCATTGATACTTCTTCTAAGTTCTAAATAATAACATAGATATCGAAACACAAACAGCCTAGTATTCCACACAGTTGTTTACTGATGAGCTTAAATACATTTCCTCGAAAAAAAGAAAAAAAAAATACATATACTCCAATTCGCACACTGGTGGTCTGGTGGACCTATGAGAGGTTACAACCAAGGAAGCCCTTCTCCTTACCAATAAAAAAAAAAAAATTAGTAGCACACTAGAGGAACTTTGAATCTAATTCAACACTCTTTTAATTAAGTAGTACGAGTAGTAGTTTATGAAAAGCCACAACATTGTTCAACTAATCAAAATATTAAATGACAGACGTTATATTAAATTACATAGTGAATTAGGCTAAATGCCAAAGTCTTAAGCATATAATACATCATGAAAGGTCTTTTTAATCTCTTTTGAAAATAACAGTCTTTTCAACAAACAACTAGAAAACTTTATTATCATAACCTTTGAAGACTGAAGAGTCTAGGATTATATAGTGCGGTAATAAAATCATAAGATTAATCACCCAGTGGTAGTAGGCCAGGGAATACTCCTTAACTGAATAAGGAGTGCTTTTGGAAGTAAAACTCTCCAAAATACGATAATTTTGGCCATCTTTGCCTTATGGGAGGGGGAATAACTTTAGATGGTCTACATAAACTGATTCTACGAAGGGCTCGGCAGTTGGGAAGCCAGCCTGCTCTTTGTGAACAAGGGCTTCAACCTGTTCTCAGTTTCTTATTTATATGGAAATAAAAGAGGGGGTGGGGGGTGGGGGGCGGGGGAGAGGAAGAGAGAGAGAGAGAGAAAGAAGCAAACAAACCATTTAACACAGCAAGGAGGCTAAGTCAGTAGTAAACAATCTTGTCATCCAAAGACCTGCATCTAAACAGGGGTTTGAGCAAAGATTTAGATTCCGGCTGATCCCATACTAACAAGTCCCACCATTTCTCTTGGCCTTCAATCCGTTCTAGACAAGGGACGAATGACTCTTCTCCTGCATCTATCCTGGAGAATGGAAGACGCTTCAGTTTTGGACAGTCCATAACAGTACAAGACAGAAGCAAAGCACAAACAAGTCGACCCTTATAGATGCTTTCCATCTGAGGCAATAGAATGAGAACAAGCTGCCTAAGTTGGGGAAGACAAATGACAGCATGTTCTCCTTCAGTTGGACCACAATCCACTACTTCGACTGCTATTAACTCCTTCACTTGTCTACAATCTTCAACTTGTAATAATCGAAGGGATTGGAGACTCTCCATCCAGCTTAGTGTAAACAATGTCTTAATGTCCTGGCATCTACTAATGATGCATACTTCAAGGCTTGAAAAATGTTTAGCTTGCTGGTTTAAACAACTAAGCTCTTCGTTGCAACTTCCTATAATTGCATCATCATGAGTTCTAGGAGGATATGCAACAGGATACAACACATCAGATAGGCAAGGGAAGTCTCTACAATTGTCGACATACAACTCCTGAATGTTATTAGGAAGCACGATGTAATCTTCCTCTTGATCAGTCAAAGAACAGCCGTGCAATGATACTTTTCTGCTGTATGGTTGATCAGATCCCACCTCACCTCCAACCTTTAGATGATATCTGTCCAATTGACACGAGTGCTGAGACCTTACATAGTTGCTCAAGTCACACAGGCTCAAAAATCTGGCATCGAGAATTTCTAATGACTTCACATTCTGCAGCTCAGAAATAGCGCCTGCAATCTGGCATGCTAACCTCTTGAGTCTGAATAAGGCAGGCAACACCCCACAAGGAATTTCCTTTGGTTCCAAAATAGAGGACAAGTTGAGCTCTGTGAGTCCTTCTAACTTTTCAAGAAAGCGAGGAACTTGCTTGATTGCTGTCTGGGAAAGGTCTAGAAACTGCAACTTCAGAAGGTTAGATACTTGTGGCACTTGCTTCAGGTTCTGACATAGACTAAGATCTAAGAATTGAAGCTCTTCCAAGGCACCAATAGAACTGGGCAATTTAAGTAAGCGAGTAGCAGACAAATTCAGAACCCGAAGGGCACGCATTTGCAAGAAAAAAGATTCGGGAATCAACTCAAAGGAGCTGTGTTGCAAAAGTAAGGTGGAGAGATAGCTATAGTTTTGAGAACCATCTGGGAGGATCGGCGATATTGAAGAATTAATTAAGGAAACAGCAAGGAGATTCTTCCGGAACTCCAATTTTGAAGTCTTGCCAGCTTCTACCAAAAAACTATCTCCAGCAACAGAAAGAGCCATATGCCTCACAAGATCATGGATCTTGATAGTCCTTTTATCCTCTGATGCTTCCAGCAAGCAAGAGTTGAGAAGTTTATTCAATATGGAATGGCCCATGTCATATCGCGCTTGTAACGATGAAACATTATCTATCAGCTTCTCACCCATCCAAAGGCGAATCAGCTCTTCTCTGCGTATGTCAAAACCTTTGGGGTACAAGGCAGAATACAAGAAACAACGCTGGAGCGTGATATTGTTCAACTTTTCGTAAGAAAATTTCAGCCGACTAAATGCATCTTCCAAGTAATCTTGTCTCGTAAAAGGAAACTTTGCACCTTCAAGGACTTCCCTCCAACTAGAAAGATTATCATCAACCATCTTCCTGAAGCATCTGGCCAACCCAGTGATAGCAAGAGGAAGACCTGAACACTTATCACACACAAGCTTCCTAAAATGGGACTCTTGTTTGGAATCCAAATATTCACCACCTATGCTTTGGTGAAACAGCTCCCAACTCTCTTCCTCCGAAAGTGGCTCAACCAGAACAAATTTCCGGCAGTGGAGCATACGACAGACATCCCGTGACCGAGAAATAGCAATCAGCTTGCATTTCCTAGGAATCCCAACATCTTCATAGCGAAACTCATCCCACAAATCATCAAGGATGAGTACACACTTATCATTTCGAGACAAAAACGAATGAATCTTGGCCGCTCTCCTAGTCTCATCCCGATCACCTCCAAGATCAAGCCTAAAAGCACCAGCAATTTTTTGCTGCAACTGATATACATTAAAATCCACCCCCACAGAAACCATACCAACAGCATAAACATCAGTAAAAGGCGTCTCATAACGAAGCCGAAATTCGAGCTGCTTTGCCAGGGTAGTCTTCCCAACCCCGGCCATCCCATAAACACCAATACTAACAATTTTATCATCCTTTAGCCAATCAATGATTCTGTTCACATACTTTGTGTTTAAGCTCAACGATACCTCAACTTTTCTGCGCTTTATTTCGGGCTGTTGTAAATAAACACTACTCCTCGATTCAGATTGAAATTCATCCATAACACTACTCCTCAATTCAGATTGATTTTCAACTCCACTATTGTTTGTACCTCCATCACATGGTACGCCACGATAATGCCTTCCTATCCCAAACATCTTATAAATCATCGAAATCATTTTCAAGGGATTTTGGATCTACCAACCAAAAAAAAAAAAAAACAATTATTATCTTTACTATCAGCGTTGGGATTTTAGCTTATAAACTTAAAAAACAAATAAAATTACATATGATGTTAGGAATATAGGAAAATATATTATTCTGATATATTTTCCATATAGATTTCATAATATTATATTTAGGATAAGTTATCTTTTGTAGGCTATAAATAATAGCCAAGATCATCAATACAATTCAAGCTATTCTCTCATAAATAATTTGTCATATGATCTATTCAATGAAAACAACAACAAATATTATAATCTAAAAAATGAAAAAAAAAAAAAATACGGTAATTTTAAAGAACAAATCCTCAATAAGAATTGTACATCTACTAAGATAAACGATTTTTACAGCCTAAAAACATAAATTAAAAACGATAAGGATATTATTTAGAGAAAAGGTAAGTGCAAACCTGCAGATGCATGAAAGATGATGGAAAAAAATGGAAGCAAAAGTTAGGCTGGTCCTATATTTAGCTTGCACTTGTAGCTTCTTCGAACTTGACTTTTTAGGCTTCAACCCTCCAAGTTTTAATAATCGCACAGCTTTGATTAGTAAAAGTGTTTCAAAAGAAAAAAAAAAAAAAAAAAACTAAGGAAGTTACGGAGTAATGGTTTTAAACTTTTAATTTCTATCACTCCTATTAAACACTAATATAAAATACACTAATATAAAATACTCCCTTCAACTAGGTTTTTTTTTTACTCTCAATTTATGTCAAAACATTGTCAATATTTTTAAAATAAAATTTTAATATATTGTTAAAGAGTTTTTAATAACGAAAATGAGTAAATACTTCTCCGTTTCGAAATAATCACAATTTTTTTTATACGTATGTTTCATAATAATTGCAACAATTCTAAATTTGAAAAAGACCCACTATTAGTTTATTATTTTACAATTTCTCTCCGTTAAAAAAAAAATTATAATTTCTCTCTCCCTAATTTTACTTTTACAAATATTTCTCTCCCTTACCAACCCTACTAACGCTACTTTTCTGTTATTTCTCTTTCCTATTAATGATACTTTATACTCCGTACTTCGTATTACTCGTATATAGAATCCTATTTGGATCTCTACCTTATTGTTTTTCTATAACTTTATGCACATCCTAATACTACATCTGTCACAGGTTATGTGCAACGATTAGACATTTTTCTTCTCTGCTTTATGTCAAATTATTGCATATAACCTGTAACGAAGGTAGTATTATAATTGTAATAATCGACAGAGTAATAAATTGAGATTGCAAAAGAAAAAACGAAGGTACTAGTTTTTTTTTTTTAACTCTGTACTAGTTTATTACGCCTATGATTTAAGAAAAAAAAATTGGTAAATGTTGACGTCAAGTCTGTGTTATGAATTACGTACCATCCGTCAACATCACACCTAATTTTTTTTAAAAAAAGTTTTGTTAATTTTTTTTTTGGGTTTTTCTACACGGTACCCTTGAGTTATTGGGTTTTCTATATTGTACCCTTCTAAATCCAAAGTTCTACAAGATGCCCTTAAGTTTTTGTGTTTTTCTACATGGTAGCCTTGAGTTGTCAAATAAATTACTCTAACTTAATTTGACTCAAACCGACACTATCTAAATGATCTATTCACCACTTCTATATTTATATTAGACGGAGGACTCACCAATCTTCATTATTCGCTATTTAGTGGAACTTTTGTATGATTGTTTGAGATGGAAGATAATAACTTGTTTTTGCTCCTACTTTAACTAAAAGAGCTTGTTTTAGAGGGGACTCAAGTTGTTAGTCTTTTTTTTTTTGCAATAAACATGCTATCTAGGTGTGTCTTTGAGGGTGCTAAATAAGTTGTTTAGATGGTGTTGGTTTGAGTCAAATTAATTTAGAGTCATTTATTTTACTACTCAAGGGTACCATATAGAAAAATCCAAAAACTCAAGGGTATAATGTAAAATAAACTAATAACTCAAGGTTATCTTGTAAAGATTTGAATTTAGGAGGATACAAGATAGAAAACTCAAAAAACTCAAGGGTACCATGTAGAAAAACTTTTTTTTTTTTTTGTACCATTACGATTTATGAACACCTAAATCTCTATCTTCTACAGTACTCCAAAAACAAATAGTACTCCACTCCAAAAATTAAAGTCTCTGTCAATAAAATAAAAGTCATTACTCAGTACCCGTTACTTTAAAGTCCTTGGAAAGATTCCACATACGAAATTTCTTGGAAAACCTCTGCTGCCAATTACGAAGTATGAGAAATGTGGTTGTCACTTGTCCGATCTTTTTTTTTTTTAAATGGTTGTTCCCATCTTTTCAGGTTATTGTCGTAAACGATTTCCAAAAAAATTGTTTGAATGTAAATTAATTCTCTATTTACGTCGGTTTAAAAACTTTTTTTATAATATTGTCCACGTAGGATTGGAAAAAGAATTTTTTTTTTTTTTTTTGTAAAGAACCGTTAACGGTGATATCGGTTCCATACTTGTTATAAAACAACTAACTATATTAAGTTTTAACTTGTGAAGTTTTCTTATACAAGAACCGCTAACGACATTAGCGGTTTTATAAGTATATAGAACCGCTATCACCGTTAGCGGTTCTTTGCAAAAAAAAAAAAAAAAAAAAAAAAAAAAAAAAAAAAAAAAATCTATCAAGCCAACGTGGACAATATTGTGGGAATAAGTTTTAAAACCAGCGCAAATAGGAAATTAATTTACAATTCAACAATTTTTAGGAAAATCTTCCGATTGTCGTTACCCAATTTTTTTATTTTTTTAATTTTATTTTATTTTTTACAAAAAAAAATACGGAGTAATAATTCAAATAATCTAACATTTGTCCCGTTTAAGGCTCTGTTTGGTGGCAGCGTTTGAGGTAACGATTAACATTTTGACTAGTGAAAACAGTACTATAAAAAATTTGAGAGTGTTTGGCCCTACTTGGTGGCAGACTGGCAGTGTTTGAGGTAGCAGTCAGCATTTCGACCAGTCAAAACAGTACTAGAATAAATTTGAAAGTGTTTGGTAAGGTAGCGATAGAGGAAGAGTTTAAGTAGTTTTTCTCAAACGTTAAAAATAGTACTCCCCCTGTTTCAATATGATAGTCCCATATGGAATCAATCACATAAAATAAGAAAAGGAAAATATTTAGAATCTAGCATTAAAGTAAAAAACGATTCATAAATAGTTATGTCTTATTTAATTTTTTTGATTTTTTTTTAGGAAAACATTATCCATAATTGCATAAATCAAGGGATTAATTTCTTTACTTAGGGTCATGCCATTAATTCACAATCAATTAATCTAGCCAACCATAATTTAATATGTATAAAATAAGAAATTAAAAGTAAGTTAAAAGTGGAATACATTCAATATGAGTAGATCTTTTTTTAAACGCCCAAAATAGTATATGGGACTAACAAATTGAAACGGAGGGAGTATCATTTAGAAGTATCGAGTAGCTTTTGACAAATTTTTATTACTTTTTAAACAATATTTATAATAATAAAAAAAAATCAAATATAATCATTGTTATACAATATTTACTATCGTAAATATTTACTTATATTCAAATTACAAACTTGATATACTCACTCGTTTTTTTTAAAATGCATCACTTTCCTTTTATGGGTGTTTTTTTTTATATATGCATCACTTCCTTATTTTGTAACTTTATATAGATGTTTTTTTTAATATTATATTTTATCATTTCTCTCTTTTACTTTAAAACTCATTCAAATTATTTTATCATTTCTCTCTCTTCTATGGTCCCTACTTATATAATAAAAATATTTCCTCCCCTCACATACTTTCTCTTTCATGGTCCCCATTTTACTTTAACTACTACCTCCGTTACATATTATTTGCAATGATTGTACATTTTTCCTCTCTATTTTATGTCAAATTATTGCAAATAATGTGTAACGAAGGTAATATAATAAATTATTCACCCACTCACAATATTATATTACTCTACTAAAACTCCACACATCACAAAATGATGCAAATAAAAAAAGAAAAAAAAACGATGGGAGTATGATTTAACAGCAAGTTATGTGTGTGCTAGCCACACGGTGTGGCCACCTAACACACAAGTAATCCCTGGACAATTAAACCCTTAAGTAACCCCTCAGACCTAGTAAGCCCTTGCCCCAATTAACCCCTTAAGTAATCCCTCAGACCTAGTAACCACCAAACCACCAATTCGAACGTACGACCACAACAAACGTCGATGAGGTTCTCGAGGATGGAAGAAAAAGTTGACGACCAAAATAACAACAGCTTTATTAATTACCGCGATTTATCAGTACCAATTCCACCGCAATTTATCAATTAGCAAAATAAAAATAAAATAAACAATTGAAAAATACAAACAAAATTTAACAACTTTTTTTTTTTAAGCTCTAATTTAACAACAGCTTCCTCAACAACTTTTAACATTATTTCCTGAAGATAAATCTTTGCTACTTGAAACATTATAGGCAGAAGTAACCTTCATATCACCAAATCAGTTGAAATTTGGGGGAAATTTTAGGGTTTGGAGCTTCGAAATTTAGAGGCGGAGATCTGAGTTGGTTTGATTGACTAAGACGACGGCGACGATGGCGTAAGTCGGTGCTCCAGCCATTAACAGCTAGAAAGAGAGTTAAAAAAAGAGAAAATGAGAGGAGAGATCTATGAGAGAGAGAAAATTAAAATAGTTGTGGTTGACCACACAGTGTGGCCAACACATATGAAAGTTTGTGATATTTTAAATCAAAGTATAGTGAAAATCATATATATAACTAATATAAAAAGTTAAACTTTTAATTTGGTCACGAGACAACGACACTTGACATTTCAACTTTTCGCCAAGTGTCGTGCCACGTAGGCGAATATTAATTATAATTATGACATGCAAGATTTATTTGAATATATATTTTAATATAATAGGATAAAAAAAAGTTGAATAGATGCAGTAGGATAAAAAATTAAAGTTACTTTAGAGTTTAGTTTTAAAAAAAAGTAGGATAAAAAAAGTTATTTTAGAGTTTTGTTATCAATAAAACTTTTGGTTTAGAATTTTATTTTCAATAAAATACCTGTATATAATTCTATACAAATGACGGATCCAGAGACGTACAAAAAGGGAAAAATAAAAAATAAAAATCAAAGAGACCTGATTAAAGTCTTAACAACATTTCCCTAGATATTATGAGAAAATAAAAAGAGATCACAACTTTAAACGATCGTTCTTTTTGGTTGTACATTATTAATACCCATAAACAAACAAGTATAATTGTCAAATGATTATTAATCCATGAGTAGAAAATTCAAATAACATATACGAAGTATATTTTAGATAAAATGTTTTATTTTAAAATTAAATAAACAACGCGGGCATCGCACGGAGCAAAAAACTAGTATTTTATATAAGGAATGAGATAGTTTAAATAAAAAATAAAAATAAAAATAAAAATAAAATAGAGGGATGTTGGAGGGAAATAAACAACATTAGGAAGTGATACGTATCATTCATGATATTTGTTTTAATATTATTGATGATTGCTTAAAATTTACAAATGCTAGACAAATCCCTTATCTAATCTATATCTATATTTATACTTATATATTAAAATGCGTTCTTATAATCGTTTATGTGTCATGTGGCACTCTTCCATGTCATCATTCAAATATGAGCATATTCTAATGAAAATGTCTATCTTTATATTTGAACACACAACTTAAAAATATGCATTAAAATTAAAGGCTTACCATCTCGTTTATTGATTAATAATGCTTATATATATATATATGTGTGTGTGTGCGCGCGCGCGCGCGCGCTGAAGATCTGAATATACATTTTATGACTGCGATTCTTAAAATACCTATTCTATCATTTGCTAATAATGCTCATCGATGAGGTAATGCAAACAAGAAATATTAACTATTGTTGTATACTAATTTTATATATTTAATTATTTTGATAATAATTATGTCTTTATTTTCATATTGATTATAAATGAGAAATACAAGTCAATCTGCCAGATAAACAAATTTTTGTTAATATGATGGCATTTTTGTAAATATATTGAATAAGCAGGGTCATTTATTCAGTACTTTTGGTGAGCTGTCCAATTACTGTTTGTTTTTTGCTTTTACTGTTTGGTGAGAAAATTACACATGTACCCCTTAACTGGTTTATGAAAAAACGCATATACCTCTCTACTAGTACTTAAAAAGACAATTTTGTTTATCTGGGGAATTAACTGGTTATCCTCATTATAAATTATATACAAAAGACATGTTTATAATTAGTATTTTTTCCATAAATAAATTATTTATAGGTTAAATGAAAAACTATTATATAAATAAACAAATAATGAATAAATGGAATAATATAGAATGAACCTATCTATTCAATTGTAAGTGTTCAAAGTAACAACAAAGGGCATCGCCCGGGTCATACACTAGTTAAAAATTAATTGTTGACGGAATATATTGAAATTAAACAAGATATCTGTATCATAACCCTAGACCTGATCAAACCTAGCCCGACCCGAGAAAGGGCTTTTTTTTTTTTTTATACAAAGAGAACTAGAAAACTAAAAAAACAGAAAGGGGCGGATTTGGACAACCTTTTCAATGGATTTAAAGGCTTGAACCGAACTGACTATATATATATTAAATGGTTGTATTTTTTCTTGTTATGAGCAGCCCAAAATTGTTTTCTCAAAAACCGAATTTGAACACGCTTTTAGACCCGAAGTTGGGCCCATACCAAACCCATGGCCCAAAAATTGGCCGATTTATTGGGCAATGTCCGGCCCATGATCTCCTCTAAATTACCTAAGTTGTAATATTGTTCCCTTCCTCCATCCTGCCCTTTCTCATTAGTAGCAACTTAATCTTTTCTCACCTCTCTCAAAGTCTCAAATCTCAACCATCCTAGTCAAGGTCAGTTCTTCCGTCAAATAGTCAAAGTGATGCTTAAGTAGAATTATTGAGTGAAATTACTTCGCAGGCTGAACTCCTACAAGAGGGCCAGAAGCGTAGAAACTTTCACGAAAGAGACTTTACAAAAGAATTTTCAACCAAAATAACTACACAAGTAAATAACTCCCTTTAAAAAAAAAATGGTAAATGGTATAAACTTATCAAGAGGACAATTAAAAAATAAGATTGGGTGAGAGTGAGGGATAGCTCAAGTGGTTAGAGTTCTCCTCCCGATTCCAACAGATCTTGGGATCGATTCTCATTCCCTATCCTTGTGTATACAATGTATTCTGGATAGCTTGGGGGAAATGGTGGAGAATTCATCCGGTGACTTCAAAGTCGCAAATTTAAACCTCACCATCTCTACATTTGCTTAAGAGTAGAAAATCCCTTACCTACCCCCTCTACACTCTGAAGCATTGACCTGCATCCCTCCCCCACCCCCACAAAAAAAAAGGGTGAATGATTGGAGTAATCAATTTGGTAATTCCTTCGCCACAAACACAAATCCTTCTGCAAGGAATTTAAGATTGTGGACAGATCAATACCATGTTGTTTGTCTCATGTAGCAATGAAGTATTGCATATCACTTGCTACTACAACAAATTCAAAATCAATTATGGCGGCAAAAAAAGTTTATTGTCAAGAGCATATGAAGGGTAGCAGACTGCATGAAAGCCGATGCAGCCAATGGAAATTAACAGGACAGAAAGATAACAATCTGTTCTCAATTGCGTACTGTTTTGATTGGAATTATGTCCTATAGGTTATCTTAGTCTAAGCTTTTGAGCATTCTACAATTTCTAACACTTGTATCTATACTTACTACAGTTACTAGTGTTACTACTTGTCTACGTATTCATCTTCAGTCAAATTTAGCTCCTGTTTCCAACTTTCCATAGTACATTTAGTATATTGGATTTATTTAAAATATCCTGTTATGTCTTGACTAGTTAGGGATAAAGGTACAATTGGACCACATTGGATGGCTCCTTCATCTGAATTAGCCTTTCCTATTCTAGTAAAGATATGTTATCACTAACACTCCTAAAACATGGCATAAGATTTACTCTTACCCGAATAACAGAAATTCAGACCAAGACAGGGGAGAATCGAATTATAAGATGCATATCTATGAAATCTGAATTATACCAAAGGTATAGTCGTATAAATTACACCCCTCCCAAAAAGTACAAAGAGAAGATGGCTAATAGCCTAATGAATCAATGTGCACTCCACCCGCCATTCTGATGGAGAGAAAATGTTTTGCATATATTATCTATCATAAGTTACCATTAAGCATCAAAGGACATCCTACTATCTGACTGAATGATATTCTCGGGTGAAATTAAACTGTGCATAGAAATTTATTTGAGTCTATTGATATCATTGAAACCATTTCTTGGAAGATGACAACTAATCAACTATGGACCCTCATGAGCTACATATCATGTTCTCATCTCAAATGAACCAATGAAAATCTTAGTTCATTTACATATACTATGTTCATTTCTTGTTGATTTGACCTGACAAAATTAGGAAGATTTGTCAAAAAAGATCAAATAAGGAATGAACAATAATGCCTTTTATTTATACGGTCACACTTAACAACCTCAAATGCTAGTCAGCCATCCTAATTCATATAATAAAAATCTACATTCATGGAGATCATCTATGCCACACAAGCGATTTGCTATGTTTACAATTTTGCGAGGTACCCCACAACATCTATTAGAAATTGAGCAAGGAATGTCATCATTCTCATCAAGATAAGGTACTAACCCTTTCCCAAGATATGCTTTATGCACAAACAACTCGTAAGCTTCTTCCTCTCCAAGGGGCTCAACTTTGATCGGTTGAAATTGATCCAACAACCTACATTTTAAGGTAGAGTTAGTTGTTAATACTAGCTTGCACTTGCTCCCTTCTTCAGGGACAGAGATCCCTATCTGATTCAAAGAAAAACCAACCTCTGGTACACCATCTAAGAAGAGAGCGAAACTGACAAAACTTGCAAGTTTATCTGACAGCTTTCTAGCCCTTACATTCAAGTCATCATCACTGGCGAGATCACAGTTCACAGCTGCAGCAACAGCAGACTGTACATTCTTGATAGTAAACTGATCCGGGAAAGTGATCCAAAAAACATGATCAAACCTGTCAACCCACCTTACTGCACTATTGTGCAGGTGCTTCATCAGAAAGGTCTTACCAACTCCTTCTACCCCATGAATGGCAATCCTTCCAACCTTATCATTTTGCAGTAAATACTCTAGCTTCACCAAAGTATTTGAAGCTACTTGTCCAACTACTGCTTCCACCGGCAATAAATTGCCACGAAATAGGCCTCGTGCATACGACATGACATGCCTAGAGAGCACATCATCACCCTTCTTGTCTAGTACTTCCAAAGCATCAACCAATGTGTCAATACCCCATCTCATCTTCAAACTAGTTACTAAGCTCCACCATCCTCCAACTTGTTGTCCTCCTAACAAGCATTCCGATTTCTTAACTATCTCCTGCACTTCATCCATCCAGTGGCTGAGGTCATTTGCTGGCTTTTGTTTCTCGCTTGGCTTGACCTGATAGCAATCCCCAAAGTCCTGCAGCTTGGCTCTTATAAATTCAGTTTTACCCTTCAGAATTCTTTTTCTTTCATCAAGGCAATGCCCCCAAAACAAAATAATCAACAGACCCATCAATCCACAAAGTATGGTGAAGGACAACATTAGTCAAAAAAAAAAAAAAAAAAACCTCCCTGTATACTCCAAGACTGAATCCTCTAACAACCCTTCAGCCTAGAAGTGTTCATAGGTCGGATCAAACCAGGGGCATACCAAATTTCATTCCACGGAATCCGACCCACTTCATCAGGGTGGACTTGGTTGGATCACTGGGTAGACTTGGTTTGATCAGCTCTACCTAGAATTGATAAACGGATAGGGTAGTGTTGGGTCGGGTCAGGTCAGGTCGGATCAACAAAGTTTTAATACAATTTCGACAGAAACCAGACAATTCAAGTCCACAACCCTCAGCAAAATGGAACCCCCTCCAAATTTTCCTTCCCAAATATATGAAGTGAAAAGGCAATAAACAGTACAGGAACACAAGGGCTACTCACTATAATGATTAGAGAACAATTAGCTAACTAAAACAAGTGCAGAATTAATTGTAATTGTACTACTTATCATTTAAACTAAAAAGACAAAATGATGATAGTGGAAGAATCGAAACCTGGTGTTATACAGCTTCGTACTATATTAACAGACCCTCAACAACCAGTGGTATTTTCCAGAGTTTCTCACAGAGAGTAAGCGTGTGTTTTCTGAAAAAATTGAAGTATTTGTTTTCCTACAAAAATACCTGCAAATGTGCAATATTATAGGAGATTTTAAAAAATTCTACCACGGTCCACGGCTATGTAAGAAAAACGATTGCTTATTGCGTAAATAGGTCGTTGACTCGTTGGCACTCTTGGCCGTCTTCCTGGAAGCTTCCTTCATCCTCCCAAAAGTAGGGTGTTCAGTGTTCACACACAAGTAGGGTGTTCAGTGTTCACACACAAGTAGGGTGTATGTGGGTTTGACTTTTCCTGGAGTCAAGGTTTTATTATTATTATTATTATTATTATTATTATTATTATTATTATTATTATTATTATTATTATTATTATTATTATTATTACTTCGTATTATTGTTGTTGTTGTTGTTACTCTGTATTATATTGTTGTTATTAATTTATTATCGTTATAAGTTTTTTTTTTTTTTTTGACAAGATATTATCGTTATAAGTTGCCATACAAGGAAGGAAAGAAAAAAAAAAACAAAAAAAAAAAACAATCTAAAACATCAATATGAAAAAGTGGAAAGCTTGCAACATGAATCAAACAACAAAACTCACATGATTATATCTTTCCTTTCTTATTATTAATTGGAACTAAGTGTATGAATAGTCTTAAAAATACAAATTTTGCAATTTCAGAATAGTCTTAAAAATACAAATTTTGCAATTTCATACTAATGACTATTATCTAATGAGCCACTAAAATTGTTGGGCAAAATATATATTCTGTATGTATTTACAGCAAGAGAGAAAGAAAAAAAAAAACACTGCAGTATCGCCTTATAGTACTCGCATATACATAACATAAAGGCGCAGGAACAAGTTATTTGAAGCTCAAAGCCTTATTAAGTTTCACATCCCATGTATAGAGTTACTAATTACAGTACAAAAGATTTACATAAAAGGCCATAATAATGGCTCATTATTTACCGCATCTAAAATTAAACAAGGCCAAATGTGATGTGAGTAGTGACATCATGCACCCTGCTGGCCTGAAAATAAATATACAAGGATTAGTACAACAAAACAGAATTGCTGATCAAAACATGTAAACGGAGAAAATAATGGGCAAAAATTACTTGAATATTAATATGACAGTGTACATGTAAATATGATCAAGGAATAAACATATAAATTCAATATCGACTTCTACTTGATGTTTATGGTATGACTGCTCTGCTCACTACCTTTGCAAGAATAAACAAACTCAAATACTCAATATAGCATAATCCTCACACTGGTTCTCGTATTTGTTCAGTTCAAAAGCACGGTGTGCAGCATCAGACGAGGTTGGGGGATAGGGGCTAGGGCCTTTGCAAGACAAGAAATCGACCACCTAAGAAATTCTGCTAGGCTTTGTTCAGTTGACAATCATACGTAAGATTATCTACCGCTAAATGGCACATGAACTATCTCAATTAAAATTGCAACACCATAACAAGTTAACAACAATATGTATAGACAATAAACAGAATGAACCAAGGCTATTGTAGATGCATAAAAACTTGCACTCATTATAAAAGGAAAAGCAATAGTACAATCTTCACTTCAAAAAAATACAAAAAAGCATAGTAAATATAGCTTTCCTACAATTACAGAAGTAACATTGTAAAATAATAGAGTATATAAACTGATTTTGGGCTTTAACCCAGCTTAAGCTAAGTTGTCCTTTAAGATGCTATCAAGAGTTAGCATTACAAAAAAGGTCTAAACACAAGCAATGAGATTATAACTGTACATCTAATAAGGTAGAGGTATTAATTTCATAGTGCAATAGTGTTGGTTATCTCCAAGCCACAAAGAGAGATTGTTATATACACCCGGGTGTACAGTACACCCAAGGGCATTTGTTTGTTCATTTAATGATAAAATGAGCAATAATCATCGAAAAGAGCAAAATATACTCTTGGTATAAAACATTTTCTAAGCCACAAACGTTCTCATTCTCTCCTATTTTCCTTCTCCTTTTTCACCCCATTTGACCTACCAAACGCCTCATTAAGCCTCATTTCTCTGAAATTTCCACTTTAAAATTAGAGGATCCCTGGACTAGTTTACAATTCCACCCACAATGTAACTTCCAAACTTATGCTTCTTAATTATTTTGTCTAAAAATCTAAGTACGGTTTAAAACTCACATATATAACTTTTTTTAAAATCAGTAAATTTGTAGAAAAGAAATGATTAGTTAATTTAATTTAATTTTTATTTATTTTTTAAAGTCATGACCAAAAAAAAAAAAAAAAAAAAAAAAAAGGGTAAACATATAACAATTTCAGGTCAATCATTTAAAGTAAACTCATATTTTCAGCCCCTACAAGGGAGAAAAACCCCCAACATCCACCACAGGTGTTGGGTGTGTTCTCAAAAGGATTTGATGCAGTAAAATAGAAAGATCTAAGGTTGAGTGGTTGGTGTGTTAAGACCGTCAACTTCAATATGATATGTATAGGATGTGTTTATGCACTGAGTGGTGGATAACGGGATATCAGGAAACTTTCACATAATTTGGTATTATGCAATAATGGAAGTAAAATTGTTACCGTGACCTGCACTCATGTGCATCTTCAAGGCCAGCACTCAACGACTCTGATCACATCCAGATTCTGAAGACCCCCGTGTAGAGTTTTTTGATCTGAATAGAGTTTGCAGTGATAATTTAGTATCACTTTGGTTTAGTTGTAATGAATCCCACCATTCATCCGGTCCTTCAATTTGTTGAAGCATTGGCAAAAGAACTTTGTGTTGATCATCCAAGAAAAAGGAGAATGGGAGCCGCGTCAATTTGGGACAGTCATCAACCAGAATTGACTGTAAAGAGGTGCAAAGCAATAAGCCCCTGTAGATGCTGGACAGCATCGGCAACTTTGTCAGCTCTAATCTTCTTAAATTAGGCAACTTAAATGTGTGAGGACTACATTCAGATGGGGTTCTGTTAAGACTGTTACAATCTTTGTCTGAAATCAACTCCTTCAACTCAGAACAGTCCCTAATTTCCAATATTTCAAGACTTTCAAGACCCATAATTTGTGTAGGGGTGAATAACTTCTCAATATCATGGCACCTACTAATTGTACATATTTCTAGGTTCGGAAGGAGTCCACCACTTTTTACATCTCCATCCAAGTGATATTTCGAGTTGTGCAGCTTGGAATTTTCCCTGTACAATTTTTTACATTCTGTGTCATAACCTTGAGAATTTCCTGCATGGACATTTTTGTAACTTGAACTATCCCAGTTCAGCATATCACACAGGCTGCCTAGACCTTCACAATTGTTTATGTGCAACTGATTGAGATTTTCCGGTAGGACTAGCTGTTCTCTTTCAGCAGCAAGAGAACATCCATAAAAGGCTACTATATTGCTATAGTGCCACACTTCTTTGTAAGTTTTCTTCTCTTGCTCCACAACATCTCCAACTTGCAGATGGAAACTATCCAACAATCGCCAGTGTTCAGACTTAACATAACAATTGTAGTCACTAATGTTATGGAATGTTGCATCAAGAATCTCCAGGGACCTTAGATTATTCAACTGTTGCAAGATCCCCATCACATAGCATGATATACGCTTCAATGCAGGCAGCCTGGAAATCAACCCATAATTCAATTCCTTTAATTTGTGAAAACCAGAGAGATCAAGTTCTCTCAGCATGGTTAGCTTCTCTATACCATAAGGAATTCGTTTAATGGCACTGTAACCTAGGTCCAAGATTCGCAAAGCATTCAAGTTAGCCAATGAAGGCACGTATGTAAGCTTCTGACAACAACGAAGAAGTAAGCTTTTTAGACTCTGCAGATCACTAATTGAGTCAGGTAGACTCTGAATGCTAGTGCTTGACAGATCAAGGACAAAGAGACTAGGCATATTCAAAAAGAACGACGCAGGAACATTTTTCAAAGGGATGTGCTGCAATAGCAAGACTGAAAGCTTGGGATACTTTGGGAAAGTGCCTAAAGGAATATCTGTAATGTCATTTCTTGCCAGTGAGACAGCATGGAAATCTTCCTTGAATGCCAGTGCTTCCGCCAGGTCTTTAAACTGTGCACCACATTTGACCAAAAACTGTGGTCTAATATTTTGCCTGGTAATTCTAATAGCCATATTCCTGATCACATCATGCATCTTCACAAAATGATTCGCTTCAGAGGAATCCAGCAAGCTGCAGTCCACAAGTTTATTTATTATGGTGTGACCCTTGTCATATTGCGCTTGCAAAGACGACACCTCCTCTATCAGACCCACAGAAATCCAAAGTCGTATCAACTCTTCTCTCGGGATCTTGCAGTTTTTAGGATACAAAGTGCAATACAAAAGAGAAAGCTTGATTGTTGCATTGGTCAGCTTTGCATAAGACCAATGCAATTTCAAAAATAAATCTGTGGTCATCAGTAATTCATGCTCTTTGGGAATTCCTCTGAGTCTATGAAGAGTAAGTTTCCACTCAGAAACACTATTCACCCCCCTTAAACTCCTCGCCAAATGAACAATGGAAATTGGGAGGCCTGCACACTCCTGGCAAATAAGCCTTGCAACGTGCCCAATGTCATCAGAAGTCAATGCTTCACAACTCCCATGTCCAAGTACACTGCAAAATAACTCCCATGCTTCACAAGATCCAAGCATGCCAATCTTAATCGTCTTTTTGCAACCTATTCTCCCACAAACGCTCAACATTCGAGTTGTTATGATCACCTTACATGCACCAGAGAATGGGATCCCAACCTTCTCAAAGGAGAAATGGTCCCACAAATTGTCAAGGAACAACACATATTTTACTTTCTTTGCCAAGAAATTATGCAACATAGCCGCTCTTCTGGTTTCGTCTTTCTCCTGATCAAGGTCAAGACCAACTGCACTTGAAATGCACAGTTGCAATTTGTGAACATCGAAACCCATCCCCACAGTCACCCACACAAGAACATATGGAAGCTCACTCTGTAAAAGTCGGTTATAAACGTGAATAGCAAGGGTAGTCTTGCCGCAACCACCCATCCCAAACACACCAATTTTGTCAATCTTATCATCGTTCAACCAACTCATAATCTTTTCAAGATTTTCCAAGCTCACTTTGCCTACCATGGACCTGACTCCTAATGCCACCCTTTCCTCTCTCTGATGCTTTCCACAAGATTGAACTACATAATTTTTCCTCAAATTGTCAGATACAACCCCAGAATTAGTTTGGTTTTCCACATTCTCAAGGCTTACACTTTCAAAATTCCTCATTCTCCCCCAAATCAAATCAGAAGCCATAATCCATTCCTTTGACATTGAATCCTGAATAATAATTTATCTAAATAAAAAAATAAAAAACACATCAGTTTTCTCTATTGAAATTTTCAAAAAAAAAAATTTGTTGCTTGATTGATATTCATTTATTGACAATAATTTCAACCTTTTTCGTGCTTGATTGATATCCCTGTCTTTTAAAAAAAAAAATTGAAATAACTTTTATGAAAAGTGTTTACACAATTAAACCTCTAAAAAGTTAGGATTTGTTTAGCATCACTATGGATTTCTATTTTTTGGTTTTTTTTTTGTTTTTCCAAAATCATATGATGTCATACAATGAATAAAAAATTAGTTAAATTTATTAAATTCATGATAATTTTGAAAACTACCAACAGAAAAGTAAAAACAGTTTTTTTCCAGTTTTTGGTTTTTTGTTTTCAAAAAAACTAAAAAATGAAAGCAAAAAAACAATGCCAAACAAGCCCTTAATTAATCATTTGCCCTCACTATTGTTAAATGTCTTTTTTAAAACTCTAAAAAATAGCTTGCGGGCATTTATCCTGCTAAAAATATATATTAATGTTGACAACACAACTAATAGAATATAAGATTAATATTCTAGATATTCTGTTATCGTTGGATATATTTTGTATATATTTTGTAATTATCTTTTGAGATTTCCTAACGAGATTAGAACTCATAATTGTAACACTTTGGTGTACCTAACTTCTTGATGTCATCATGGGTAATGACGACACCAATGATAAGAGTGGTAACAGTAGTAATGCTTCTTCCTCCAATTTCCACCCAGCTTTTGGTGTCAACAATATCAAGAACTCAATACCTCTTATTCTTGATCGAGAGAAGGTCCAATATTCAAATTGGGCTGAATTATTAGAGTGTCATGCTCATGCGTTTAATGTTCTTGATCACATCGACCCTAAAACACCTAAGCCGTCGGATATATCGGAGGACATGTGGACAAGACTTGATTCGGTCGTCAAAAACTGGATCTATGGCACTATTTCGACTAATTTGCTAGTAACAGTCATGGCTAGAGAGGATACGACTCAACAAATTTGGGACAAATTAAAGGCGCTATTTAAAGATAACAAGACTACCCGTGCCGTATATCTTGAGAATCATTTAATACCTTGCTTTTGTCCAAGACATCTCTTCGTATTGTCGTGAGTTGAAGAACTTAAAGGATCAACTAGCTAATGTTGATCAACCACTCTCGGAGCAAAACTTAGTAATTCGCTTAACCTCGGGTCTCGTGAATACTGATTTTGATACAGTTGCAGCCATGATTCAACAAACAGAGCCGCTGCCTTTGTTTGAAACTTCCCGATCACGCCTCTTGCTTGAAGAAACACGACGTGCCAATGATAACACCGACTCACCGTCCTCCTTTGTGGCTCAATCGACTAATGGACCATTTTCACCGTCCACCACCGCACCACCCCAGCAGTCTCAGGCACAACAAGTTGGCCGTGGTGGGTTGCTTAGTGGCCGAGGACGCGGCAGAGGGCATGGCCGCGGCAAAGGCCGGGGCCGTGGTCAAGCATAACAACATCCCACCAGCAGCAAGCCACGGCACCACAATGGGGCCAACCTCAGTGGGTTGGTCCTCCAGCAGCAAGGGCCGCTGCAATGGGCCTCGGCTCCATACCCTTTCCTACAGCAGGCCCGTCCAGCGGCTCCAGCAAGCCCATTGCCTCAACAAGCCCACTTCTTTGGGCCAAGTCAGAGCACACCTATGTACCAGCAACCCCAACAGCAAGCATACCTCACACATGGGTCGGGGTATGGCCCCGCAATGACACCAACCGAGCTCGGGAATGCTTTCTCAACAATGGGTTTGCAAAATTACGACCCCTCTTGGTATATGGACTCTGGAGCAACTTCCCACATGACGAATAATGCTGGTAAACTCTTACCCCTTTTTAATTTAAGCACAAATAATTATATTCTTGTGGGTAACGGTCAACGCATTCCAATTACGGGTTATGGTCAGTCAAACATTAGAAATAAATCCCTTGCCCTTTGTGATGTTTATTTAGCTCCCCAAATTATCAAAAACTTAATTTATGTTCGTAAATTTACCACTGATAATTCTGTGTCTATTGAGTTTGATCCTAGTGGTTTTTCTGTGAAGGATCTTCGAACGGGGAAAATTCTAACCACATGCAATAGTGCGGGGGATCTCTATCCAATCACCACAACACCGTCTGCTTGTCTAGCCACTTCTCTCGCCGCCTTATCTCCATCCACATGGCACAACCGCTTAGGACATCCCGGAGCACCTCTAAGCTTTCTTAGGAATAGAAATTTGATTGATTGTAATAAGGAGTTAGTCTCCAATAGTTATTACATAGGTTGTCAGTTAGGAAAACATGTTCGTTTGCCGTTTCATAACTCTAATAGTACTACTCATTCTGCTTTTGCCATTATTCATGCTGATTTGTGGACCTCTCCTATTCGTAGTGATAAAGGACATAAATACTATCTAGTTTCATTAGATGACTTTACTCATTATGTGTGGATTATTCCTCTTGTTTACAAATCGCAAGCTTTTCAAACCATTCTCAATTTTCGACAATATGTGTTAACTCAATTTGAACGTCTCATCAAATCCTTTCAAAGCGACCATGGTCGTGAATTTGATAATGACCCCTTTAAACTTTTTTGTGTCAAAAATGGTTTGGTTTTTCACTTCTCTTGTCCACATACGTCCTCACAAAATGGCAAAGCCGAACGCATGGTTCGTACGATTAACAATGTTAAACGTACTCTTCTCTTTCATGCTTCTCTTCCATCTTCATTTTGGCATCATGCCCTTGAAACGACAACCTATCTTATCAATATTTTACCCGACTAAAACTCCCAATCATATCACTCCGGCTCAAGCTCTTTTTGGGGTTGTTCCATCTTACACTCACCTTCGAGTCTTTGGGTGTCTATACTTCACAAACTTGTCTGCAACCGCTCCACATATATTAGCACCCCGCTCTACACCTTGTGTTTTCCTAGGTTACCCCCAGAGCATAGAGGATATAGGTGCTTAGATCTCACAACTCGTAAAATAATTATTTCTAGATATGTTGTGTTTGATGAACACGTCTACCCCTTTAAAAATCTTGCTAATCACCAAATCTCATGATTATGATTTCTTAAAACGTGAAGATCCATCCCCTTTACTGCACCAACTCAATCCCGTTCATTTTTCTTCTATATCTGCAAACACAACAAGCTAAGGTATAGCCCAGCCCAGCCCACAAGAGAGCCTCAGCCACAGGGCCCAAACTAGCTCACACTAGATTCCCAGCGGGCCAGCCAGCTTCTCCGCCGAACACCCCCCTTCCCTTACTGGCCTACCCAGCCGCACACGCAGCTACTAGCCCTCCTACCCAACCTCTTCACCACTTCTTCTCAGCATAGCCAACCCACTTACACACCACCACCTCTTCGAGGGCACACACCAATCAAACCCACTCGACCTCCACCATTATCTCCACAAATGCAAACTCGAGCCAAACATGGCATTGTCAAACCAAAACCCAAATACGGCTTATCTGCCACCATTCGTTCCCCACTTCCAAGAAATCACAAACAAGCTCTTTAGGACCCAAATTGGAATGTTGTGTTACGTGATGAATATAGTGCTTTAATTAAAAAGGGGACATGGGAGTTGGTCCCTAGATCTACGGGGGTGAACATTGTTAATTGCATGTAGTTGTTTCGTCATAAATTAAATGCTAATGGTGATCTTAAAAGACACAAAGCTCGTGTAATTTGTGATGGCAGGTCTTAAGTCGAAATGGACATTCATTTTGTTCGAGAAAAGGTGGCGTTGGGGCATGTACAGGTCTTACACGTTCCTTTTCGGTAACATTTTCACGAAAGGCCTACCTCGACAACTATTTGAAGTGGATTTCAAGTCCAGTCTTAACGTACGTCCTCCTCCCGCCACGACTGCGGGGGTGTGATAGAATATAGGATTAATATTCTAGATATTCAGTTATCGTTGGATATATATTACATATATTTTGTAATTGTCTTTTGAGATTTTCTAACGAGATAAGGACTCATACTTGTAACCCTATATATTGAGATTAACGGAATCGACTCCAATCTAAGGGAGTTTCATATTATCAAACAACAACTAACCCTGTGCTATGTGGCTCTTGTACCAACTAATCCTACAAACAAAGATAAATCACAAAATAAGAGTGGAAGATAGCTCAAGTGGTTTGAGTTTTTCTCCCGATTCCAGGAGATCCTATGTCGATTCTTAGGGCAGTTTTGAGCTAAACTAAATATTTTATAAGAGAAGAAAATCAAGAACTAAACTTAAAATAATCTGAAGAGAACAAACCCTTACCCCCGCATTTGCAGCTCTTTAAAACAACAAAAAAAAAAATCGCAAAATATCCACATAATATTCCTAACAGGCGCAAATTTGGTTGCTTAATATGTAATAATGATGTGGCAAGTCAGGTGACACTGATTTGGGGTCTGCTCTCCTCTCATTAACCCCATATAAATATATATATGTGAGAAAGGAAAATAACATATGAGGCCGTAATAAAAAAAAATAAAAAATTAAATATATATAGGCTTTTTTCAAGGGATTTTTAAACACCATATATAAAAAGGAAATAGTTAATTTCAGCCAAGAAAAAAAATATATTTTAAATTTATAATTCTAAAAATTCAATGGCCACATAAGCAAAAACAACCAATTAAATTATAAGTATTTTTTTTTTAAATTCAGATGCCACGTAAACTTTTTACAAAAAACAAATATATATATATATATATATATATATATATATATATATATATATATATATATATATATATATATATATATATATATATATATAACTATTAAAGAGGTTAAATTAAATCACACATTTTCTTATGGCCATTTGCAAAAGAATAATATAGCCCCTATAATAACACTCGAAGTAACCTTTATGGGTCTATTAATTTTTTTTAAAAAAAAATTGTCATTAAAGACTTAATAAATACATCTACCAAATGAGAAAAAGAATTCTAATTAATTTTTTCATAAAAAAATTCAAAAAATTACAAGAACTTTATAGTATAATTAATCAATTTATAAATGACTTACAAAATAAAAATTATTTTTCCCAATAGGAATTTTATTGAAAATTTTATGTCTAAAACATCTTAAATATGAGATTACATAAATTTATAATATAAAAATACAAATAAATTGCACATTTGGGGCTTCATCTAGTAAATAACTAAAACAAAGTCCATCCCATCCCAATCTTCCTGTTTGATTGATTTATCTAAACTACACTAATCTACAAGGAAGGATAAAATAAAGTGGGTCTAATTCAATTGCTATTAATGTGTATTTTTCAAATGAATAATTAAATATGAGATGGGGATATAATCAAATTTTTATTAATATGTATATTATTACTATATAATATTTACAAAAAAAATTTATTATAGAATTAAAAATATTTACTAATAAAATCAATAATCAATAATTATATATACTTCCTCCGTTTTTTTTTATTATTGCACCATAGGGGTTGGGTGCAAATATTTTGGTAGTGGAAAAAAAGTAAGAGAGAATAAGGTAAAAATACAAAATTGTCCATTTGACATATTGATAAACTAAAAATTAGGTGTGAAAAAACAAGGATATGTTGGATATTTGTAGTATGAACACAAATAATTTTTTTCCTAAAGAGGAAATGGTGCGATATTTGTAAAACTTTTTAAAAAGGCAAGTGGTGCAATAATAAAAGAAAGGAGGAAGTACTAAAAATATTTTTAATTCAACTGATTATTGAGGAAAAAAATGCAACATACATAAGATAAGAAAGAATAAATAATAGTGTGCAAAAAAAAAAAAAAAAAACATTCACATGCAATATAAATTTGTTGGTGAAATACATATAAAATACATATACACGCATTTAATAATAGACTTTCATAATAAATTCATTTTACAAATTAATAATTAGTTAGATTTTTTTATTAATTAAATATAATATAAATTAAAAAATAATTATTGAAAGTAATTGTATATGACACGAGCCCTATTTAGTATCACATATATATAAAACAAAGTATAAAAAAGAATTAATTATTTTTTATACTAAAAGAGTAATGTAATAAGATAATTAGACAAGTATGAAATTTGTTACTTACCTCTGAGTGTGCCATACACTTGGACTAACCGTGAACCCAAGGTTAGTTTTTGCTTTTCATTTAAAGATTAAATGAAAAACTAACAAAATACTCAAAAGTGTAGGGTACAAATCTCAGACAAGTGACTTGGAATATAGATTTCAGTAAAATAAACTCAGAATTAAAAATAAACACAAAGTTAACATCACTAATTATAACACCACTAAAGCGTAAATTTGTGATATTTTTCCAAATTAACTATCTTGGGAGAAGCGATCGTGTGAAAGCAAAAAATACACGGTTTGCAACTTTACACAATTTAAAGGCAAGAGTTTAAGCTGAAAAAAAGATTCGATTTGTTTTATAGATGTCACATATTACTTTATTAGTACGAGTAATGAATTGAATTTTTTTTATTTTTTTTTTTACGGGAAACGATCAGAGCATAATATTACTCAAAAGAGGAGGCTAAATCAGCCATTACAAACTGAGAAATTCCAGCAGGAACTTCCTCTAACCAAACTCTAAGTTCACCAAAAGAAAGAGCAAGCTTAGCAATTTCATGTGCAACACAATTGCCACTACGTTTAACAAAAGAAAATAGACATAAATGGCATTCAGAGGCAAGCTGGAGAATGTCATTTATAATCAGCCCAAAAGCAGTATGAGGAGCAGATTTCTTTAGCAGGTGTTGTAGAGCTTCATACATAAATGAATTGAATTTACTTTTAAGAAATAAAGATCAATTCAATTTTATTTTAGATTTGGTCAAAATATTTTCTGGGTTCAAATTTTAAACTACTAAGAGATAATCCAAAGCATAAGAACCAAATAAAAACAAAACATCTTGCATAAAATGATCCTAACTCCCAACCAAAAAAATATAATAATAAAAGTACTGTAACATATTTGCACCAAAAAAAATAAATTAAAAAAATCGTATATTACTATATTAAAAATAGCAAGGATTAAATCAGTAAACCCAGAAAGCTAGACTGAGCACAGATCAGAAAATTTACCGGCGAATTGGCCTTCTTGAGGAGTTGGGGATGGAAATGAGAGTATGTGATACTCAACGATGAGAGAGAATTATGCTTTTATATTGCGGTAGGTTTGGAATTGGAGAACTTGACTGGCATATCGTCAAGATACTTTTCTCCGATGTTGGTCTTGTTGGACTTTGTGGAAAGAACTTGTTTAGTTCAACAATTTTTTTATTATTTGTTTTTATCTGATGGTGAGGTTTGATTTCATCAGAACTTCAGTTTATGTGTTATTCCGTCCGTGTCTTAATAAGTGTTATATTTTAATCGATATATAGTTTTAGACAATTAAAATAACTTAAATAAAATAATACAGTAGAGAAGTGTGGTATTTACTATTTAGAGTATTAAAGAATTGTAAAAAAAAAAAGTGAGATTAATAGTTTATTGAAAGATACAGAGTAGTAAATGTAGGAGGAAATAAAAAAAAAAAAAAAAAGGTAGTAGTGGGTTTGAGTGAGGACTATGAGAGGCGAAAGATATGATATTTAAATACTCGTATAACTTTTTGCCAAAAAAAGAAGTGTAATACTTATTAAAAACACGGAGGGAGTACCTTCGTTTTATATTATTTGCAAACATTAGACATTTTTCTCTTTGCTTATGTCAAATCGTTGCAAAAGGATTTTGTTACTTTCTTTATTTTTTATTTTTTTATGGCAGGATTTTTTTAATAAGTTAGAGTTGAGTTTTTCCACTATTTATATGTCATTATTGACTTTTTTTTTCAATATATGATATATAAATATAATCATATAATATGTTGTTGGATTTGTCATAATGAATACTTTTATAAATTAATTTTTTTGTTGATAGTAAAAAATGTATCTCAGCAAATGTGCAAGTTTGATTTTAGATTATAAAAAAATAGAGGGAGTATATTCGTAATAATGTGTATTTTATTAATGTATCGTATGTTCTCATACGATTATTTCAGTTCAGTTCAGCTCTAAGATCAAAGCCAATGGGGGGTTGTCCATTTGAGGTGGGCATCAAAATAGAGAAAGAAAAAAAGTATTAAAAAAACTCAAAAGATGATACTTTAAGAGAGAAAAATCTAATGACCAGGTCATGGCCATGACCATTGGCAAAGGGTGGGCAAACAATTTGTATGTGCCACTTGTCACGGTATGAAGGGGCTATTAGTTTTTTTTTTATTATTATTAGTGGTGAACTAGCTTTTTGGCCCGTTCAATGCACGAGTTGTTTTTTGGATTAATTATTTTCATATGTAGGTATGCTTTATTTCTATAATTTAAAAGGAAAACAAAAAAAAAGAGTGAGGATAGAACAGTGAAAAAAGATGAAGAAATTTAGTTAGATATATATACATAAAGATTGCGGGATATGAAATGACATATTAATTAAGATTATATTTAAAGTCTATGAGATGAAAAGACAATTTTTATTATAATTCATATATTTATGTAATGCATAGTTTTTTTTTAATAGATGTAATGTGTAGTTGTGTACTAAACTACTAATTAATTAAACTTTATTTTATTATGGTGGAAATGAAACACTTCACTTTCTTAATTGAATTTGCAAGTTGTAGAATGCACAAAGACATAAATATAAATATTAAGGGAGGTGACATGTGGCATATGGGGTAATGAGTGACTTAGGCATCGTTCTTTAGAACTGCTTTGCTCTGCTCTGCTCTACTGAAATCTGCTCTGCTCTGCTTTGCTGAAATCTGCTCTGCTCTGCTTCAATCTGCTCTGCTGTACTTTACTTAAAATTAATACTTAATATTGAATTATTGTAATAATAATTAATATTTTATAATATTGATAAATAATTAATATTTAATATTTAATAATAATAATAATTAATATTTAATAAGAATAATAATAAATAATTAATATTTAATAATAATAATAATAATAGTTAATACTTAATAATAATAATAACAATAATTAATTATTGATATTTAATAAAAATAAAAATAATAATAATTAATTATTAATATTTAATAATAATAATTAATTATTAATAATTAATAATAATAATAATTAATATTTAATAATAATAATAGTAATACTTATAAGTAATAATATTAATTATAATAACAATAATTGATTTTTATAATAACAATTAATATTAAGATAATAACTTTTTATTAGTAGTAATACTAATTATTAATTTTTTATAATAATAATAATAATTAAATAGTATTTAATAACAATAATATTTAACTTTAAAAATTTAATGATTATAATAATAATGCGATAATATTAGTAGTAGTAGTAGTAGTAGTAGTAGTAGTAGTAGTAGTAGCAGCAGCAGCAGCAGCAGCAGCAGCAGCAGCAGTAGTAGCAGTAGTAGTAGTAGTAGTAGTAATAATAATAATAATAATAATAATAATAATAATAATAATAATAATAATAATAATAATAATAATAATAATAATAATAATTGTTTTGGGTGTTTTTGTCCCTTGGGAGAGTTACAACACGAAGACTGATCCGCAGTGAGCTGTACCTGCAAAACAAACGGAGACACCAGTTGGGTGGTGCTCCGCCTCCGACGCACAAGTCAGTAACTTGAAACGGAATAGAGAGAACGGAAATTTAGGTGGGTATCTGCTCGGATTCCAAGCTCAGGTCTTTCTCTGATGTAAGAGAATAAGGGTGTAATTAATGATTCAATGTGTCCCCCAAAGTGGAGAAATATCTCCCTATTTATAGGGTCGTTGGAAAATGCGCCCCTATCTAGGTCACTTGACCTAGATTTTAGTGGGCTGCGCCGTTTTACGGCGTGCTTAGGAATCTGGGCCTTTGAAGGCCGCCATTTTGGAAACATATCTGAGGGCGCCAAGTGTCAAGAGGATGTTGAGCCACATGGGCCATCCTAAGCTCGACACGTGGCGACCTCTCATTGGTCCACGTGTCTAGGGTAAAAATACCCTAAACATTTGCCCCTCACAGGTCGCACGTGCATGTCACTAGGGCCTGTGACACGTGTCCACCTCTCATAGGTGAGCAGTAACGGGGTAAAATTTTGAATTTCAAATCAAAAATTTTCCCCCACTTTTACTTTCTATAAATAGAAAGTTACCTCCCCTCCTTTTCACACTTTACATTTACATTGACTTTTTAGAGAGAGAAAAAGAGAGATTCTAGAGAGATTTTTCTCTGCTCCCGCCTGCATAATCAGCGAGTTTCAAGCTTCCGAGTACTTAGCAGTTCATCACCCGGCTCACCGGCTGTAGCGGTTTTCAGATTTTCCAGAGTTAAAGCAAGGTAACCACCTGTACCATTTTAGCTTTTCTCCCTTTCAATCTGCATACCATTTTTCGCCTGCATACCCGGCTTTCTTAATAGAACATAAATGAGTTCTCAATCCATCCACTCGGCACTGCCTAGGACACTCAGCCGATCCCCAGGAACGGCTGAGTCTAGAACAGGGGGTGCCTCTTCTGGACTGTCGGAACCAATAAGCTCATCTCCGAATTCCTCCCTCTCTGTGTCTGTGCAGGACACAATGGCCAGAACGAAACAAACGGCCAGGCGGTCTAAGAGCCGGCTCACCATGAGAGTGCCTGCCGATGAGGTTTTCCCGGATGGGGATCCGAGGGATTTGGAGGAGAGTGGATCCGACGAAGAGGCTCCTTCTACATCCGGGAGCTCTGGGATGAGAGAGGTGGACGGCGAGGGAGCCGCCTCCTCCAATGAAGCCGGCGATGCTGAGGCCGCCCAGGGATCAAGAGAAGAATCTTCCGGCTCTGAACAGGGGGATTTTGCGGCTGACTTTCAGCAGCCACCAAAAGTAGCTGACAACCCCAACCCAAAGAGAACCCGGATGCTGCCGAGCAACATTGCCCTTCTTAACAGCGGGTTCAGGGCTTTTAAGGAGAAACATCCCTTTGGAAGGGGATGGGAAGTTATTGTCCCTCCGGCCGATGCTGTAATGGCCTGGGGGGACGACATTGATCATGCAGATGACTACTTCATCTGCTATGAGGCGGTAATAGAAGTCGGCCTCCGGTTCCCCCTCCACCCCGGGATTAGGAAAATCCTAAAGGGGTACGATCTGGGGGTTTGGCAGCTCACCCCAAACTCGTGGGTGAACATTTTAAGTTACATTGCCGCATGTGAGTTCCAAAACTTGAACCCTAGCTTCTCTGCCTTCGCTCACATGCACTATTTGAGCAAGGCTCCAGGAGGCTATGGGGCATGGTATACTCTGACTATCTTGCCCCAATACTTAATGACTTTGGATAAAGTGTCCAAATGGTCCGGGTGGAAGGACAAGTTTTATTTGATTTCCTCCCCCACTCTAACACACAACCGGACACTGCACCGGTACAACACTGAGCCGGCTCTTCTTGGACGCAAATGCCCTCTCCTGGAACTATCTACTAAAGCCCGAGAGCAGATCATGGAGCCGGGATTTTTTGAAACTACGACTGAGCCCATGGGGGATGGGACTCACATTATTGTTCCTAAGAACTAGATCCCCCACCCGGACTTCTTCAAAGATGAATGCTTTTTGTCCGCCTGCGGACTGAGCACAATGTTACCCAGGGGTAGAATACTTCTCACCCGCAGCAATTGTTATTTTATTTTTATTGCAAACTTGCTTTAATTCTTTCTAACTTGGAATTCTTGTTATTGCAGAAGAAGCCCTGAAGATGGTTGACCAGGACAAGACTCCTGCTAAATCGGCTGCGCTATTGCGCAAGGAGGCGGCTCTTGCCAAAAAGGCAGCCGTCGAGGCGAAGGATAACAAGAAAGGCGGGGTAAGACCGCCTGACTTAATGTTGGCAATTTTTTTATATATATATACCGGTTGGGTATACTCATATTTGCTTCTTTCTCAGGAATCCGCCAAGAGAATCCCTCGGTCATTCTCCAAGCTTCTCAAAAGGCAAGGAGATGGTCTGGAAAAGACTCCGGCTGCCAAAGCCGCAAGAAAGGACCCCCCCCCAAAAAAAAACAAAACTCTGCCCAATCCGGACGTCCAACGACTGGGGGCAAGTCCCCTGCTATTCTGAAGAAACTGAGTGAAAGCTCAGAACAGCAGAAAGCGCCGGAAGCCTCTACGGCCTCGAAGGGTGGCGAGACACCCAAGGTTGCAGGCGGTGCGACAACCACTGGGGAGGAGAACAATCCGGAGACCCAACCGGAAATTCACGGTAAGGAACAAACTGAGATACCTTGGCCACTTGATTTTATAAGAGTCAAGACCAAGGTTGTTTTTTCAAAAGGGTCAGTCAACAATCGGCAACGAATGAATGCCAGCTACGCTGCTTCTATCTCACAAAGAACTACTTTTGATGCAGATCTGCTTCCTAACCCGCCGGATCTCGCCGGCTTCGCGAAGCGGATGGTGAGGACCCTCACCCGGTCTGAGAAGGCTTTCATACCTGATCTGCAGGTCGTGGACTTCGACCGGATAATGGGCTCTCTGGCTGAGGTACATGATTCCTCTATCTTGATGTCTTTAATCTTTATCCTGACTTACTCATAAACCGGTTGTTATTGATTCAGGCCATGGTGAGAGTGGACAGTCTCCGGGGCCCCTTCAGGCGAAAACAGGAAGAGGTAAATGACGCCAAACGGAG